CCTTGCGAACAGACGCGCGGGTTCCGGTTTAGAATAGCTTTTAAATCCGACACATAAGCTTATTTTTATTTTATCTTATTTTCGTTATCTTTAATCAATATCGAATTTTGATACGCGAGGAGACGGATTCCCTCGAAACATCTGTAACCAAGCTAGAGTTCTCATGTGAGGAGACGTCCTTATTTCGGACGACGTTACCCTATTATTTCTTCGCAGTTGCAATGATCCAAACTTATTTAACCCCGTCAATTTCCCGGTAGAATCCTCTCCAATCGTGAAATATCGATAACAGAAGAATAAACTGTTATTTCGATCGAGAAATCGTGAATGGCATCTGTGGTCGATGGATTCTGTTTGAAATTACGAGACTGATCGTTGCAAAAGAGCTCGAGTATCTTCGATCAGTCTTCTCGAACTTCCTCAACGACGCTGCATCTCTGTTCTCCGTGGCCACGGGAAGTCATCGAAGGTCTTCGACAACCATCGGCGGTCGGCAGAGTGATCTTACCGCGCGTCGAAGACCTCGGGTGATCTTTGGAACTTGGCTGGAAACGTTTTAGGCGGACGTAGACGGCCGTGTTACGGTGCTTAGGCAGTTCTTAGCGGTCGGCGGGAGCTATCGATCGTTTTTGGAGGGCTTTCGAAGTGCTTTGATAGCCCGCCGAAGCCACGGAGCTCTCGGTCAGTTTCTATTCTCGCTCAGTTTCTTCTCCTGAAAAGGACAGTCCACCTTCCTGATGATCCCCACCATAGGTGATGGAAGGGTTTTTCACAGCACGTCCCCCTCGTACCGGTTTCGCTACACACAACACCGCTAGTATAAGCTGCACCGCAGCTTCGGAATAGCAGAGCCGGCGAAAGCCCTTAAAGCTCAAAATGTAGGCATTCGACTGTCTCTCGGCGTCTTGGACGCGGAGCTTTCGGCGTGTACGGTTTCGAAGGGATCGGCCGCGGACGGCCGTCGATAACCGAGAGCACGCCGGTATTTGTTCGGTCGATAAAAATTTGTTGGACCGAATTACACTCCGGGCTCGGCTCGGCCTCCCCCGATCATTTATCCCTCCCTCTCGTAACAAGATCTTTCCCGGAGCTGTTCGAGCAATAGCACCCGGCGGCAGTAAAAAAGGCCGGGTCTCTAACAAAAGACCGCTTGTTAACTCGCTTAAACGACGTGTACAGAGTACATCGCGGTGGGGTGTCAGAGTCAAGCCGGAGCGAAAGTCGAGGCAAGAGAAGGACGAGGATAAGGATGAGGAAGAGGTGGCGGTAGCAGCGATGCTGGCGGTGAATCGAGGGAGATCGCGTGCTTTTTCTCGTTCTCTTTGTCGAGTTCATTAACAAGCGCCACGTTAAGGACGCCGGTGCACAGGGGTCGAGGCCCGCCACGTTAATTTGTTGTGCAAGCCATAATGAGTCGCAGAAGTTGGTCCAGAGTGTGCTACTGCTAAGGGCTGCTTTCTGCTGCTGCTGCCGCCGCCGTCGTTGCCGTTGCAGTTGCTGTTCCCGGCTCCGCTGGCNATGGAAGGGTTTTTCACAGCACGTCCCCCTCGTACCGGTTTCGCTACACACAACACCGCTAGTATAAGCTGCACCGCAGCTTCGGAATAGCAGAGCCGGCGAAAGCCCTTAAAGCTCAAAATGTAGGCATTCGACTGTCTCTCGGCGTCTTGGACGCGGAGCTTTCGGCGTGTACGGTTTCGAAGGGATCGGCCGCGGACGGCCGTCGATAACCGAGAGCACGCCGGTATTTGTTCGGTCGATAAAAATTTGTTGGACCGAATTACACTCCGGGCTCGGCTCGGCCTCCCCCGATCATTTATCCCTCCCTCTCGTAACAAGATCTTTCCCGGAGCTGTTCGAGCAATAGCACCCGGCGGCAGTAAAAAAGGCCGGGTCTCTAACAAAAGACCGCTTGTTAACTCGCTTAAACGACGTGTACAGAGTACATCGCGGTGGGGTGTCAGAGTCAAGCCGGAGCGAAAGTCGAGGCAAGAGAAGGACGAGGATAAGGATGAGGAAGAGGTGGCGGTAGCAGCGATGCTGGCGGTGAATCGAGGGAGATCGCGTGCTTTTTCTCGTTCTCTTTGTCGAGTTCATTAACAAGCGCCACGTTAAGGACGCCGGTGCACAGGGGTCGAGGCCCGCCACGTTAATTTGTTGTGCAAGCCATAATGAGTCGCAGAAGTTGGTCCAGAGTGTGCTACTGCTAAGGGCTGCTTTCTGCTGCTGCTGCCGCCGCCGTCGTTGCCGTTGCAGTTGCTGTTCCCGGCTCCGCTGGCAGTGCCGGTGATCACCGCTGCCGGTTCCTGCTGGTACAGTTGATCTTAACAACCTCTGCCTCCTGCCCTCCCCGCCCTCTCGTCGCGTCGGGTCTCCTCCTCTTCCTCCTCCTCCTCCTCCTCCTCCTCCTCCGGCTCTTTCTCCCCTTCCTTCCCGTTGTTGGCTCGCTTCTACCTCCTTCTCCCACGGGTGGAATAACTTACTTACGACGCAATTAATTCGCCCGTGTAATTACGGGGCTAATGGCCCGTAAAATTAAGAACCTGTACCTGGCTCTCGAGCGTGTTGCACGCGTTCTACTACCCTTCCTGTTCCTCCTTCACCTTCCTCTCCTCCTCCTCCTCCTCCTCCTCCTCCTCCTCCTCCTCCTATTCCCCTTGCCCCTCCTCTTCGTCCCTGCCTCCCTTCGATCCCTCGACCTTCTTCGCCCTTACACCTGCTTTCTCCGGAGCCTTCGTCGTCTGGTCTCCTTTCGTTCGTTCCCTCGAGCCACCGTTACACGCCAGGCCTCCGGTTCCCTCTTGTCTCTCGAGTGTACTCGAACAGACTCGATTAACTTTATCGCGATTAACGATAATTAATAACGCGTTACCGCGGAAAGTGCAGAGAACCGCGTGCCGAGCGCGAAAGGGTACAGGCTCGGCCGTTCGTGCACGCGGCGCGGCGCCTCGTTCCGAGGATTAATGGTAGCCGGAATGTTAATGACGCGACGTCGGCGGCGGAAGGGCCGGACAGGAAGAAAAAACGCCGGAATAACGAAGCAAGACACGGACAAATCTGGCAAATGATGGTAAATTGCCGGCGCGCCGGTGAACAGAGACGCCGAGCGGCCTCGAGGGCGCCGCGATGCTAAATGACCACCGGCGAGGCAGGAGAGTCGACTGTTAAGTAATGACGCTACAAAACGGTCTCTTCGGTAAAATGATCGTTTACCGCAATTATAACCGCATCCTCGCGGTCTGGCTAACGACCGACCGTTGATAGCCAATGGAAGACGCCTCGCATCGGGAACTTTCCGAGTTTCCGTCTTCGGGCTGCAAACGACAAACTGCGCGCCGTTTCAAACGCTCGATCGTGTCTCTTCTCCTTCTCTCGTGTTTCCTCTCCTTCTCCCATTCGCGTCGTTTCGCCTTCAAACGAAGTCCGTTTTCTTATCTTCGAAGGTAAAGCCTGCGAGCAAAGGCTGTTCCGTCGCGAGCTCCTCTCGCAGCACCATCGAACACTTCAGGTTCTTCTTAGGCGACCAACGACGTTGTAGCTGTTTCAAGCTTTCGAAATTATCCTGAGCGTATTTTTTCAACGATCTTCGCGGCTCTTTCGCATTTAACCCCTCTGTTACGCTGTGTAACTTGAACGCACTCCCTTGTCTCTTGTTCCGCGCGGCGAAAGAATCTGTTGAACGTTTTCTTTCTTCTCGGGATTCGCGTTAGTCTCTTTTCCGACGCGTCTGCGGAAAAGCCGAACAAGCGTCGACGTTCATCTTGCGCTATGTCGATGCGTCAGGCGTTTATTATTTGATTTTTGAAAGACCGATGTCGTTAGGACTTGGCGTAACGTTTTATTTGTACACCGCAACCTCCTAATTAACACTGAACGTACTGTTCTAGGCAAAATAAATACTCGGTTTTGACTACAAAATTATCGCAGTTATAAAGACTCTTTAGTGGGAAACGAATCAATGATTAAATTCAAACAGACATTTAAAAAATGACGAGAAGTCTGAATAAGTGCTCGGTCAATGCTCGGTAGGTTTAGCGTCTCAAAGAACGTATTTATTAACGATTCTGTCCTTTTTTAAACTCTTTTTGAACGCAATTATATTTTAGGTTCCTAAATGGGGAAAGCGATAAGGTTTTCAGCTAGAGGACTTCTGTTATCCTAGATACTTCATTTAGTCGATAAGCATACTTTTTTTGAGACGCGCATCAGCGATTTGTTATCCTCAAAATGTTCATTCGATGGCGTGAAAGTTTAATTGAAAGTGAGGATTGTAGCGATAACGAAGTAGTGAGTTTTAGAAGAAAAGTTATAAATAGAATTTCGTCGAGTTCAGACGAAAAGACCTTGACGACACGTTGAAAGTACTCGCTATAGACGAGCATAAGAAACTGAACTCTGTTGATAATACATTGGACGATATCCAGTGGAACGAATTCGCTAACAGTCGTTTTCGTTCACCGGAAAAAGTGGGCTTCTGATGGATGATTTATCGTTTGGCATTAGCGCAAGTGAAATGCTTTCGCTATTCTCAGATTAAAAAAGCGATAAGCCTTTTAATCACAGAAACTAATGGATACGCGGACCAAAAATTGCATCAATGCATGTTGTATATCCTACATTTATATTTTAGTGCTTACTTCTTGAAATTTATTTGAAAAATCCAATTGAAAATCCTATTAACTTGAATAAGAGGAGCGTCACCCATATTTGGGTGACGGGGCCCCCACGGAAGCATACCCGTCACCCAGATCTGGCTGACGCGGCGACGAACGTGTTAAAAATTTCCCAAGCAACATTTATTTCATCGAAACTCGGGAACAGTTTTAGCGGCTTAAGATCCGTTTACGCAGCGACGCTCCAGAACGCCTGCAGCTGTGTGCTATCTAAAATCACGCAATCGTTCTACACCCTAACCAACCTAGTTCCACTCACGTGTTGCAACAATGTGCTCGAACTTGCGCCCGTTTCCGCTTCAACAAAGTTTAATTTCTCTGTTGCAGTACTACGAGATGTCCTACGGCCTAAACGTGGAGATGCACAAACAGGTAAGTTTCAAATCCTCGTTCAGACGTAGAATCCAACGGCGTGCGGGCGGGAGAGCTCGTCGCAGCTGTCTCTCGGGGGCCGGGCAACATTGTTCTGCCAATTTTCGTGCGCCAATTTCGCACGCGGAACGACGGGATCGCGCGCGGCCCGTTCCTCGTCCTCCGCCCGCCGCGCGTTCGGCGAACAATTTCCCGCCCCTCTCCGCCCGCCGATGTCTCTCGTTCAACACTCTTTCTTCGCTCGGCGCGAGACGCGCGTCGGTTAACGTCTCGTGTTTGCCGAAGTCATTAAGGAGAGGATAAGTTTGTCCCGTGTACACGGACGAATAAACATTTGCCACGATGACTCGCCGACACGGAATGAGGCTCCGAGAAAATCCACAGCCACACGAGAGCTGGCACTTTCGACGCCGCCGAGAAACGCTGTTCCAAGAAGTCGTTCTGTCTGTTCGATAAACCGGTAGCCGCGTGTGCATATATACAGCACCTGTCAGCGATTCGCGGTTCGGTTAGCGTGATTTTCTCGCGTTTAGGAGAACGCCGCGCGGGAAACGGTCGACGGTCGCACGGGCTTCAACGAGGAAAGAACGCGAGCCGGGGGAACCGAAAAAAAACAACGATGTACGATTCGATGAAACCGGAGTCGAAGGTGTACGAGTTGTTCGCTGCGGATCGGAATACGCGACGTCTCGAATTAGGCGAGGATAGACGAATTCCGAACGAACCGTTCCGAGATTGACAAATTTGAATCGCGCCCATTCAACACGGACAGAATTTAGTTACACCGAGTCGGCATTTCAGACAAATGATATTCATAAATCGGTAGAGCAGATTTACGGACTCGAGTTTGCATTTACACGCGGCATGTTTTGCTTTCGCGTTCACAGATCCGAATCCTTCAGGTTCGATTTCCGAATTTGGATAAGTCGAGTCATTCGATTCATCCTAGAACCATCCCGGAACACTTTTAACCCTTTGCACTGGAGTGGTGATTTACTCAACATTGATATATACTACATATATAATAAAAAAACGCAGGAAAAATCGAATGTACTTGTAAATGTTAAAATTTCAAATTGCTGCTGTAGAGTGATATTCGATAGAGCAAAGAACGATACATAATAGCACTATGCGCGTCGAACGCCAATATCGTGAACTATTCATATAATTATTCATATTTTTTATTTGTTTATTTTATTCCGGCCTGGCCCAGAAATATTCTAAATATCTTGAATATTTGAGAATATGTTTTTGTTTTCACTAAAATTCCGATTCAAACGGCCAATGGTCGACGAGTATACTCGTCGTGACACAAGATACCGTCGCTTCTCCACGACGAGTATACTCGTCAAACAAATCTAACCGGTCAAAAGAGAAGCTGCGGCGCCTCGCCTCCGAGTACAGTTTGAAACGATGTCACCGAAATCCAAGTGAAACGAAACGGGATAAGTAGCTCGACCCACGGGCCGTTAAATCATTCGTGCCGTCATAATTCCTCGGGCCCGCACCGGCTATCAATTCCGTTTCTGAAACGCAACGTCCCGGTAAACAAGCAAAGTGTCAAATACGCTCGCGCGGTTCGCAAGTTAGCGGAGGTACGCGCGTCGGGATCGGTATGTCGCCGCTATCCGCCTAATGAACCGAGCAATAAGAAACGTCGGCGCACAATGTGTTCGGTCAAAGGTGTCTCACGCGGCGAATTCGCCGGCTCGTAAACATTTTCGAGTTATTATCCGCGCGGCCAGGCTCGAAAATACGCATCGGTCGCGCGAGAGATCTGCCCGTCGTTCCTCGCATCGCGTCGTTCCCGCTCCGCGCTGTTCCCGCTCCGCGTCGTTTCCGCGATCTCGCCGGCGCGGCGCGACGGAGGGCGGGAACCTTTTCGAGATCGCTCGTTAAACCGGCGGAACGTAGCCGTGGCACCGCTTTATCCCTCCGTGTCTCGTTAATCATCCACCTTATGTCCGCTCGCGTCACTTATTTCCGCGGCGCTCCGGGATTCTTACGAGGTGCGACAAAAATAGAGACGCGCCGCGTTGACGAGGATCCACGCTAGAAATACGGTGACTCGCCGGCGAGGCCTGGGGATTTCTGGGCTCTTGTGTATTTTGTTCCGTCGCACCGTTGCTGCCGCCGCCGCCGAGCTACATTTTTCCCTCCCCCGCAATTTGTTTGCCGGCTGCTACCACGGCGCCCGGCGAAAAGTTTTCGCGTTCACCAGACCGATGCCTTTCTGTGATCCTCGAACCGGCGGTCTTTTCACAAATAACTCGCATCTCGCGATTGCCGCGACTCGGTTTTCACTGGAAAATTAGCTCGGCGCAAGGCAAAAGTTTCGGCATTTAATCACGTCCTTGCTCCCGGAACATTGCGCGATCGAATATCCATTTCTCCATTTTAATTCGTCGAAAATTCACTTTGTTGTTGTTGTTGTTGTTGTTCTTGTTGCAGCAACTTTTGTATATTAGCGTAGAAAATTGTTTGAAAATTTTAAAGTTGAACATTTTCGAGAAAAGGTGCGCTCGTTGACTTCGAGAATGAGAGAAATCATTTTTGACGAACGTATTTTGATTATGCTAATTGTTTGCGATAAAGAATAAGCGACGAATAACTACATATTTTTTCATTAACGTTTCTGGCCTCGTTTCTTACTGTTTTGTGTTTTTAAAATTTTGAAAAACTTCTGAAGCATTCGACGAAAAGTATAGAAAAATGGAAATTTGTTCGAAGATTTAATCGGTTGGCTGTTGCGAGCTCTTTGAAATGTGTGCAACTAAAATGTGTGTACTACGCAACCTACACACCGTATACAGTTTTTTCATAATAATTATTTATATTTTTTCATTTGTTCATTTCATTTTGTCTGTATTCTATTCGAATATATCTTAGATCCGACTAAAATTGCGATATAATAGGTGAAATTTGAATTAATGAAAAAGATTGAAAGAAGATAAAGAATGTTTTAACGTTAATTACAACTTATTAGAATAATTCGAGAGAAACAAGATTGCAATAACCTCGTACACGTTGCAATCGATGCAGACAATTTCTATTTTGTATAAAAATGTCGCCGACTAGTCGTAAAATAAAATGTTGCCATTTCATCGCGACGAGTATGCTCGTCGAAAAAACAGCTAACCGGTTAACACCGAATCGATTGTACAGTATTCGAAAAGTTTGTCCGTTAATACCGTCCCCATGAATTACTCACCGATTATTCCGTAGCCCGGCGGACGCGGCGCACGATAAATTGGAATACGTTTAAAAGTAATTCAACCGGCGGCCGGCACTGTTCGGTTTCTTTCGCGCCGTCTAAATTTGGCCGGTTGTCCGTTAAAAGTGTTCGCGCTTAAATATTTCGCTCACGGAAAGGGGCCGAAAATATTTTCGATCCCGGCCAGCTGGGAGGCATGTGCGTGCCACGAAAACGAAATAAAACCATCTTCCCGCCGTGTTATGCACTTTGTTAACGAAACGTTTTACTACGCGGCTCTCACGCGTCGACCGATCACCCACCGTGTTAACCCCGGAATGCCACTCGTGGGTAGAAATAGGCAAGCTATTATTCGAACAAGGAATTACGACCGGAGGAAGCGTTTAAACGGTCGTTCGCGACGCTTGTTCCAGCGTACGTTCGTTTCAACAAACTTTTAATCGCGTTCGACCCTCTAATTAATTTTCATCTTTACCCGGTACAAGCTTACGATTCGTTCGACCCTCGTGCGCGATTTAACGATCGATGCAATCCTACGGAAACTACGGGAATATTTATCGAATTATTAAAGCGCGGGCGATTAAACGGTGCGATTTTACGCGAAGATAGAAAATTCAACGAGCTCGAATTTTTCATTAGGATTTTATTGTACACGGATCCGCGATTAAGGTAAACCTCTGCCTGTTACGAAACGCCGCCGCAGTTGCGACTCCGTCTTGAAACAGCGGCAGAAGTAACGCGATAAAAAGTGGACGGAGCCCTAATTGACGCTCAGTTTTTACGCAAAAGTGGACAATTTGGGAAGAGGAGGTACGATTTTATAGTCGCCGGTTATCAAAAACTATAAAAACGAGCCGCAATGCTCGAATAATTGTATCTCCTCTTCCCAAACTGTCCACTTTTGCGTACAAACCGAGGGTAATTAGGGAGAATTTACTGTACTTTTGAACAGTGTTCTTTACGAATTCGTTTTCTAGCATATCTTGTATGCAGAGTACTTACAACGAGAACGAACAGACTTTTGTAGGGTCAATTGTAATTTTAGTCAGCGTTCCGTTGGGCCAAGTGTTCGCGCGTTGTACTAAGCTCGATCGTCGATTCTTTTCCAGGCTGAAATTTCGAAGAGACTGAACGCCATCATCGGCCAAATCCTGCCATTTCTATCACAAGAACATCAACAGCAAGTCGCGAGCGCCGTCGACAGAGCTAAACAGGTCACTATGACGGAGCTGAACTCCATAATAGGGGTAAGTGCATGTAACGCGATGAAATCAACTTATTCGCCGCGACTGTTGCGAGCCTGCACGGATGTTTTTGTCAACAATCAGAACAATTACCGACATCCATGTTCGCATACGCGACGCGATCCCGTGTACCGCCGCTAATTACTAATTGATACTTAAACATTTACATAACACCGTTGATGGCTCCTATTATAAGGAGCGGCTGCAAGTCATTTGCCAGTTCGTAATAACAGTCGCCGGGAACGGCGTGCTTCGAACGCGTTTTAACGACTTTATAAATCGTCTCGACGGATACAATGGCCTCCGGTTCGAGCGAATCCGTGCTCCTCTCGCGCCCAGGATATTCCACGTGCTTGAAAATATCGTCGGGATCATCGGATACGTCTAAACGCGTCTGAAATCGAATCGAATGTTCTAACGATCCGATGACTCACTCCCACTTTGCATCTCATTTGTCATCCACTTGTTCTCTCCTCGTGTTCCGAGCGCTTCACCCGATCCTCGAAGCACCGATTATCCGTGAAACCGAATGTCGGCGCATCTTTAAAACATGATTTACAAAAAAAAAACTTAATTGCCGCCTCGCGTATCCAGCTTGCCGCGATACGATTCACCGGCGACTCGGACTTCAATCTCACGAGCGTCGAAACTTTTCAATGGACCTTTTTCTTCGTCCCTCCTCTTCTCCGGGTGTCGCAACGATCGTCGAGCAAAATTCGATTTGCATAACAGACTTCGAAAACGGACACGTCGGCTGTGTAGCTGTCCCGCCGAGAGACGGCTACATCCTTTCTTTTCTTCGATCGGGTGTCTCCTACGATGGACTTCCGGCGGAAAACGTTTTTCTCATACTTATAGCCGACGTATTCTGCGGTACGATCGCTGGGGGGGGGGGGCGGAAGGGTGGGCGGAGATAAAATTGGTATTCGACCGTCGCGACGCGTATAGCTGAGTTCCAAGTTGGTTCTCGCGAGCACGACTTGAATAATTCCTCGGATGTCGATGCCGCGGGCTAAACAAAGCCACGGCGCTCGTCACTGGGTTAAAAGCGTGCTTCGATTACTCTTATCCGAACAGTTACTCCCATTGATATTCGGACGTCACTACTGTACGCTGACATTTTTCGCCGCTTTCTATTCAGGCTGGATCCGCGAACACGCTAAACCGGGGTCTTTTTGGGCTGTCGGAATGTACGCGGATTCGTTGCGTCAACGAATGCTAAATGGATCACGCATCTTTGCGTAATCTTGTTCCTTCCGTAGCTGCAGAATATTCTTTGCCGTTGGTGGATCTCCGATGTTCGGACTTTACAGGCTTTTTTACGTTCACGTTGCAGAACAATTCGTAGTTTAGGTGTTCGAACAATTCCGTGGAAGTGCACAAATCGAGTATCATTTATATTTTACTCGCGATAACAATTTTTTGATTCGCCTTTGAGATGTTTCGAGGACGACGCAACATCGACGTTGTCGCTTCTTCCTCGACATGTTTCTTAAAACGAATAAGTAAAAAAATATATACATATACAACCGTTGTGAAAGAAATGGCGGGTTCCTCGGATCATTTGAAGCAGTTTCTTCCTTTACAAAAATGTTCTCCGAGACACCGTTAACGAGTTATTGACGAAAAACAGTGACCAATGAGAGGCGAGCTCAGCTGGCGCTAGGCGGCCGAGCCAACGGCGCCAGCGGTCGAGCGGCCGAATCCTAGTTCCGCTCATTGGCTCGGTCTATTTCGTTAATAACTCGTTAATGGTGCCTCGGAGAAAATTTTTGTAAAGGAAAAAGTTGCTTCAAACGACCCGAGGAACCCGCCACTTTCGGATTGCGAGACGTTTTTGGGACACCCTGTATAGCGTGAACAAAATATGTATTAGGTCATTAAGTATGAAATATCCGATTACCTAAAGCATCAAGTTTGATATTCGACGTTTCCGATACTTCACTTCGACCGTGCTTTGTTTTTTTTTGCATTGAGAAGGGATACGCCGTCTGGCTTTCGGACGCACTCTTTTATTTTTAACAGTCGATCGTATTGTCGTCTAAGGGTTAAATATTGTAAGCCATGGATAAGTCAAAAATTCGCGTTATTTTCGAGTATGAGTTCCGTCGTGGAACTAATGCAGCGCAGACAGGTCGAAATGTTAACGAGGTTTTTGGCAGGAATGTGAAACGTTCTCGAACGTACAGTATGTCGATAGTTTGAAAAATTCCGATCTGGAGATTTTGATATTCAAAATGAACCACGTGGGCGACCTGAGAGCAAGGCCCGAGATACAATAAACCAAACTTTCGGTCTCAAAATCGGACATTTCATGCTTAACCCATTGACTGCCATGCAAATTTAGCGCGTCTTGCCCTGGGTGCCACGGTTTTATTTAAATAATAATATTAAGTTACCGATATAATATTGTAACGTCATTTGCAGTATCTTTTTAATTGATAATCAATATGTTCTCTACACTATATACATTTTTCATTCATCCTTTCTAATAGTTCCTAACTCAAACAGCCATTTGTAGCCAATCTAAACTTGCAGCACCCACTACGAGATATCTCGTAGCTGGCAGTTTTGGTACAGACGCTTACTACGAGATATCTCGTAGTTGCCAGTCGATGGGTTAATCATCTAATATGATGCTTCGTTATTCGCCGTTACGTCGCTTACTTTTCCCGGGCACATTCTGGGCGCGCGCTTTCCAAAGAGGTCGCGGGACAGAGAGTCGAACAGAGACTGTACCGGAATCGCTGTACCGGAGACACCGCGGTAACACCGAAAGAGAGGGACAATCCGAAGTATGTATGCGGTAAGAAACACGGCTTTCGATCGGCCTAGACGGAACTAGAGTCCCGTCGCGTGCCCTCGATTTAACGAGCGCGCACAATCCTGACCGCTACAAATCGTTCGATCGAGGTCGTGACACGTACCGCAATCTGCAGTTGCGTAATACGCGTCATCGGCATGTGGGGACATAATCAGTGCGTGCACTCCGCGCACCGAATAGTAGGGTACAAGGTGAAGCCGGGTGTGCGACACGTGCACATGCACCGCGACTCCTCGCTCGTGCTAGGGCTACGTCGCAGGACGAGCCCCGTGACGCAGGGGCCGAAGGGCACAGGGGGCGACGGGGGGGATTCCGGTTCTCCCGTGACGTTGGAAACACTAAATAGAGTAAGACAGGGGAACAAAGAGTCGGCCAGATGGAGATAGAGGGTACGGTCGGAGCCCGTTGGAGGAACGGAGAGAGCGAAATATAAATAGCGGAGCGAGGGGCCAAAGGCTGAAGGGACCGACGGAGGCAAATAGACATAAGCGCCAACCCCCATGAATATGTATTACTCGGTAAACAGGGGTTGAATCAATATTTCGTTTAATAACACTGTGGAACGACGGAACGTGGGTAACGTCCCTTCTCTCGCTCGATGTCCCCACTGGTCTCCTGATTGGACCTCTCTGTTATATCCCCGACGTTCCGCTGCCCCTCTTTTCCTCTTCTTTCCACCCCTTGTTACGTGCACGCATCGCTGGGGTGCGTTTGTAGAGCCGCGCGCGGGCTATATTCCCTGACACGTATTTAAACGCACAGGTATGGACGAGTCGCACCTCGGGGCAACGCCGATGCCACCCCGGACCAATCCACCCCTCGGACACGAACCGGCAGTCCACCCTCTCTCTCTCTCTCTCTCTTTTTCTCTTTCTCGCTCCCTCTCCACCCTGTTCCCGCGTATTATTCACGGCGCGTTAAACCTCGTTTGGGACTATTACGTTTCGTTTGGCACTGCACGAATGACGGTGGACCCGCTCGTTGCTTCGAATACGAATTGAATACCGTCGGGGACCGTCGCGTCGCGTCGCATCGCGCCGAATCGCGTCCGTTCAGCCGGCCAGCGACGATTTTCGCTTTGTATCTATTGTATTTATCGATGCCTCGCTTACGTACTTCGCCTGGCTTTTTTCCAGCCGGGTTTCAACCCGCGAGTTGGAGGACGGCAGTCCGGGGGTAGCGGCGGCGGCCGGGGGGTGGACTCGAGTAATTGTTCCCGGTGAAACGCGATTTCCGACGAAAATAACCGTGCGATGCATTTTCCGCTCGCCATTGGTACATTATACAATTATTGCTCGCTCGACGCCCGAACCGTGAATGTTCTTCTCTCTTCCTCCCTCCTTCCATCCCTCCGCCCCCCTCGCGCGCTCTCTCTTTTCGCAGAGATACACCCTGCGCACAACGAAAAAAAAAAAAAAAAAAAAACGTATTCACGGCTCGTCGCTTGTTTGCCGGCGCCGGCAAAGGGGCGTCGTTGAACCCACGCGGCGAATTATAATCAGACTGCTTTTTTATTTTCTTTCTTTTTTTTTCCACCGCGAGCGAAATGCGCGGCGGCGGTATCGCGCGGAAACGATAACGTTGTTTTGTAATGCCGGAGATAAAAAATGCCGCGTATCGCTGCGAAAAACTGCACGGGAAAATTCGACAGAGGAAATTGCATGAAGTCTGGAGCATTGTTCGGCGACCGGCGAAAACGGGCTTGTACCGTGGCGTTGCCCGGGCTGAAGTGAATTTGTTGATGCGGAAAGGGCGACTGCGGCTCCGCTGCAACGATTCGCGCGAATCCGCTTCCTCTGGTTTTCTAACATTTTCGAGGGAAGTTTCAAGTTCTGTTCGCACTTTGCTTAATTTCTTTTCCCCGGAGTTTCGTTCACAGCTACGCCGGATAAACTTGTTTGCCGCGAAGAATTTCTCACGCGGAGAAGAGAATTCGTATCTTATCGCGTGGCAACGTTCGATCCGACGACTAAATATCGGTAACTAGACCGCGGATCGTTATGCGAAAGAAAGATTTTCCAAGATTATTTTTAGAAGGAGAAATCAAATGAAAGTAAGCCGTTTCTTTTGGTAATTTTCACAAGTTAAAGATATTATTAAATTCAAGTGTTATTAAACTCCGATGTCTTCAGAATTTTATATTTTTATAAACTGTATGCCTGATTCACTTTTTCATATAAACAATGTTAAATGTCCACTTTTTGATATAAAAATATCTTTATTATACAGCACGCGATAGAGATCTACCTTTAGAATTTCCAATAAACATTTTAGATTATACTATATTCGATTTTTTATTCTTTCATTCTGTTTATTCTTGAATAAAAAGATTTAATAAGTCTTATCCGACAAGGATAAAGTTAATTACGCCCGAAAACAAATCAAAGGTGCAGCAATTGGTCGCTCCACGCTAACTATACCATAGCTGATATCAAAGTCAAATCGTGTCTCTACAGAAAAATTCATCGGACGTTACTAAAACGTGAAAAGATTCAACCCCTTCAGAGAAAGAGTTGCGTAGGATAAAAAATCGATGCGTGGCCTAAAAGAGAAAAGAACCGCCGCCGCCGTCGAGGACGACGACGCGCCTCGAAACCTTCCATTTCGCCGAGCGGTCTCGCGACGGAAAAAATTGTAGCGCGTCAAAAGCCCCTCGCCGGAAGTCGAGTGGCCGCAAGGCAAATTGCAAGCTACATCCGTGGAGTACGTGCACGTGCGTACGGCGCCGCAAATACGTCCCCAGGGGGTAAACTGTGCTGCGGGAAGACCATACGAGCCGTATGCACACGCTACGCCCTCCTTCTTCCCCCTCGGGCCCCTTCGCCGCCGTGTTGCCCCATTCAGCGACAGTACAGGAAAATAACTATCGTACACAATCGGCGGCGCGTAGCCCGAGAGGGGTTATTTCGCATAATCCACCCTCGGAGACGAGACCACGACCCTCGTTCGCCGAGCAGTGTGTTACTTTCGCCTCCTCCCCTTCGCCGTCTGCACCCTAAATACCTAAGTGAAATCCACGATAAGCATGATTCGCGCACGTAACGAGTTTACCGGCCTCTGTTATCCCCTCTTGATCTTACATTCGATATTTCCCTTTCGCTCTCTTCGCCCCTCGGCAGAGTAGCCCGGAAAGCGGTAATTTCTGGTCAAATGCCAATTTTTCAACTTCGATGCCGGAGATATCGAAGCTTCGAAATAAAAAAAAATATTAGTGCTTTCGAACAACTGCACGTACCAATTATGAAATACCGTAGAATCGTGACTCCTTTCTGAAACAGTAGCACAAATAAGTAAATAAATAAATAAAAAGTACTGAATAATAAATAAAAGTACTATAAATAGTACAATAATAGCGCATCAATAGCACGATACAAAATAGATAGAGTCTACGAAAGTGGGTGGAAAAATTGCACCCATACTTTTGAACGTTGCGCTTTGTAAATTCACTCGTACAAATACCGTCGTGTAACGATCGGTTGTAAAGACAAATGTTTATTCGTATACGGGCGTCTCTGAGCAAGAACATACCGTTTCACGTATCGTGTACTTCGATTTTTTCACTGTTCCGATTTATGGAATAATTGGCATCCGTGTTTCGTAATCGGTGTCCCTAACTTGGAACGGGCATTTCAAATGGACATTGAGCATGAAACACGGGGACACGGTGCGAAAACGGCGTTTCATAATAGGTACACGCTCGTACCTGACTATATTATTCCTATTATTTTGCATTCATATCGAATAAATATTTCAACGTTCTATTAGGTTATCTAGAAACATCGATCTATCGAACAGTAGCGTAAATATTCGACGGTAAAACTTGGTAAGCTGTAATGAAATCGATCATAATTCCCTATAGAATACTAAATTCAAAGTGCGTAATATGTTTCGGTTGTTCGTGCATTACATAAGAATTTTTTAACTCTCGATGAGAAAATGTTAGTTTTTGATTTGAACGTCGAGGAAGCTTGTACGAAATCGATTGAAAGTGATGGGCATTTTGACAGGAATTTCGTTTTCGGATTCGTGATTGGGGCTGTTATCTCGCTCCCTCTCTCTCGCGCGCGTTCTCTCTCTCGCGCGCGTTCTCTCTCTCGCACGCTCTCTCTTTCGCGCTCTGTCTCTCGCGTTCTGTCTTTCTCGCGCTCTCTTTCTCTCTCTCTCTCTCTCTCTCTCTCTCGCGCACACTTTCTTCTCGTGCTCTTTCTCTCTCTCTCTCTCTCTCTCTCTCTCTCTCTCTCCCTGATTTCTGGCAGCTCTATCCATCCCCATTACTCCTCTCTCGCCGCTCCTTATGCTGCTTTCCGAGCCGCCGCGCCGCGCCGCACACCGCCTGGCAATCGCTAGTGGTTTGCGAGGGTCCTTGAACACCGACTCTCCTTCCCACCCTCGTTAGAGCCGCGCTTCCAACCACCGATTTTCTTTCGAGGTGACGGTTCTTCTCCCCGATGACGAATCGGGAGGCTGCACGGGCGGAGTGCGCCTGCAATCATCGAGGCTTCGATCGCGGCGACGTTAACTGCACGGCTTCTCGATGATTCTCGGATGATTCTAGGCCTCACGGATCAGAGATGTTACGAACGTTATCCTAGAATCGTTGGAAACCGTTGTAGCATCTATAGAAAATATCAGATCAATTTGCAAACGACGGTGAAAATGGAAACCGAGTTTTACCTTTTGACATACAAAGACGTCTCTGATATGTCGTATTGTTTCCGCGCCATTAGAAATGAAACGTATTTGTCTTGGCTTCTTGCTGTACCAAGCTTACGCAAATGATACATAATTAGTAGCATCCTTATTCATACCTTATTTTATTTCATTTGTATGTTAAGAGGTTTAATAAAGGATGCGAGGGTAGTATATATATTTTTTATCGAAAATGAATAAAAAAAAAAATTAGTAAACGAATTAATTGTCAGAAATACTGTAGTCCACTTTATTGTTAAATTTGTTTTAATTTCAAAAAGTCTATGAACTCGGTGCCGGTCTCAAGAATATTCAAATATTGAAATAATCAAAATCTGAACGATAGATTTACGCTCCAACCTCTTTCAGTTTAACTGATAAAAATAGCGTTAACGAAATAATGTTATGAATAAGGAAGCGTTAATTCGATCAGATCTTGCACAGGACCTTTTTCTGTTAGCCAAACCGTCGTCGCTTTAGGATTGAAATCTTGATGCGAAATCTACGTAAAGAAACATTTGGAAATCATCTTTACCCTGGAAGAGCGAGATAAGTTTAGGTTATCGGTTCAGCAGCTAGTTCGACGATATTGGCCCCTTAGTTTGCATCTATCCGCGATCGTAATTGCGTTCGATGCGAATCATCCAGGTCCAGTGACGTTGAGAACCATGTTTTCTGTTTCCAGCAACAGAGACCCGACATATCGAGATTATTGCAGCAAATGCATGCTCAACAACTGCCAGCAGGGACACCGTTAGGTGCTCATCCTGGACTACCCGGACTTCCGGGACTAGGGCCAGGTGCTGGACTTCCGGTGCCGACTTCCGCATCGACGGCTCTTCTTGGTCTTGGCCTGACGCCGGGAGCTGCCACAGCACCCGGTACAACGGCGGCACATCCGCTTTCGATGCTCGGTAAACCGGAACTGCATCGTGGCCAGCCCGACGATTTAAAGAGCAATGGCGGTGAGCGATTGATTTTTCTTTTTACTTTATTTATACTCGACTAACCCTCTTACGGTTTTCTGGTCATTCCTGACAAGTCAACCGGCACCTTGCTTCGTCTGTGCAATTAGTTCTCGTGTAGACTTGAAACCGTAAAAAGCTTAAAACCGTAGGTGAATTTGCACTTCCGAATAAACGCGGAATAGACATTTCTTCAAATTACATATTATCTGTCGTACGAAATAATTGTTGCAGCGATCTCTGCGATGAACCAACAACGCGTTAAGGGACGAATACGAAAGCCCGAAAATTCCGACAGTATCGGAATCATTCGATCAACGAAACCGAAATTAGATAGTTAAAGTTTAACCGTGAGAAATGCCAGTTCGATTCTTTCGTATTCTAAAAATCCTAGTAATATTCAGTTTTTCCGATGAAAATGAATTTCAAGACCTTGTTAAAAAGTAGCGCGACCCATGTGTGACCGACACGGCAATTCGATGTTTAATCGTCTTTCCTTGTTACAGCTAGGAATAAAATAATGATGTAACCGTGTTCTCGTTCGTTCCAACATATGTACAATCGTTACAGTGCGCTGCCTAAAAAGTATGCACTCTTACGCATCGACTACTAAATACATATTAACGACTAGCTATGCTTGTTCCGAACGATTTCTTTTTGTTCAATGTAAATGGGCACAGATAACCACGAAGACTTTCAAGCCCGCTTCGAACGAAGGCCGTACAAGGGTTAAAACAATTACGCTTGCATCAACTAACAATTATGTACACAACGAATGCGAACAGACTTCGGAACAGAAAATCATTTAACCTAATTAGGATTGCATAAGCGTACAAGTAAAGTCTGTTACGCGGTTGTTAATTACCTCTGATTTCATAAATTAAGCTGTTTTCGGATAGCCAAGATCGTTCGCGCCTTTCGGAATTACACAATTCGCTGGGTCGATACGAAATACTTGCGTCAAGTATCAAACGAATGGCGCCGTTTTCTCAACAGCGCGAGTCCTTAAATTTGCAAGAAGTGTACTCGTCGATAATCGCTTTTTACAAAAGTACACGCCAAAAGTACGATTCGCGTCCTAAGATAACCAAACGTTCGCAAAAGTTTAATACTATTCGCGGTGAATAGCGACGCGTTCGCCGATTCGAACGCATCCCCGTGTGCCAATAATTTCGAGCCTCGCCGTATAAATTTCTGCTTAATTATAATTCGTAGCGAAAACACAATCAATTTTCATCGGTCTACGGCAACCGCGTCGCGCGGGCTCGCGTGCATGAAAACTCGGCGTAATAATCCCGCCGGTAAAAACCGCGTGCATCGCCGAATAAAAATCGGATCTCTGGGTCTCGTTCAAATTCCATTTAAGCTCGGCCGACATCAATTCAAATTACCGCTGCCTGTTAATTTCCACGCTTCCTTTGGTATCGCGTTATCATTCCCCCCTCCCGTCTCCCCGACGGCCATTCGAAAAACCGCAGAAGCCCTATGCGCCCTTCCCTTTACGATCGAATTCCTCCAACAGGAGAAAGAGAACGAGAGAAAGAGAGAGGGAGCGAGGGAGAGAGAGAGAAAGAGAGAGAGAGAAAGAGAGATAGGGACAGATAGATACAGAGAAAGAGAGAGAAAGATAGAGAGAGACAGGGAGAGAGCCGGCTCCACGAGAATCGTAAAACCTCGCGGTACTCGTTATACGCATATCTTTCGCCCTTTCACACGATTTTAATTGCCACCGCTGCGGCGAGCGCGGCCGGAAAAGAAATTAACGAAATTCCGGCCTTTGGTCACGTCGAGTGCCCCCCGTCCGTCGTTCCCCGTCCCCGCGGCCGCCGCTGTTCCAGCGACCCCAGCCGACCTCCCTCGTTCCACACAAGCGACACGATATAACGAATCTCACCTGCGAGAGCGCGCGAACGCCGACCATCGGCCTGGATTTCCCTCTTTTTGTCACCGTCATCCGTTTGATCCTGCTTTTGTGATACCCGGCTCGACTCGGTTCGGCTCGGCCCGACCCGGCCCGACCCGACGCGACCCGACCCGACTCGACCCGACACGACCCGGCCCGGCTCGGCTCGGTCGGGCCGTGGGGAAAAAAGCAGCGCGCATAGTCGTCCGCCGAGCGAGCGCGAGGGAAAGGGGTGCGCGCCACCGAAAATGCTGGCCGAGGGCGGAATCGGGGGATGGCTAGGTGTGGACCGACGGTGGGGGCGGCGAGGGTGGAAAAAAAATATGTAGCCGACGTGGCGTGAGCGTGCGGTTCGGAACTCGCTCGACTGGAAATTTTCAAAGCGCTTTTCGGGTATCCGCTTTCGGCAGGGGTGAGCGTGTTTGCGTCACCCTGTTAGCGGACACCGGCGGTTTTGAGCGAAAAGCGCATAAATATGCATGAAGATCATTTATACGGGCGCAGCTCGCTCTTTCGCCATCCACGCCCCGCCTCCGCGGCCCCGGCTCGCGCTCGTCCATCCCCGCCTCCTCCGCGCGCCCTCGTCTCTCCCTTTTACGCGCACGTTATTAACATTTTATCGACGCGCGGTGGCCGGAATTTTGACAATTTTTCCTTCGCTCTCCTGGCCCCTCCTCTCACTCCCTCCTCCCCCCTCTCCGCCCGACTGCACGCACCGCGATCTCATGCATGAAAATCATTTTCGTTCCCCGCCCTCTTCACCCGCGCGACCCTCACCCGCGGACACCGGATGGGCTTTTGACTGACGACTGTTTGCATTTGTCTCGTTACAGGTCTCAGCTCCACCGAGGAGAGACACGTGAGTAGAAATATTTTGTTGTGATTTTTTTCCGCTTTTTTGCTCTCTCTCTTGTTTTTTTTCCTTCTTTTTTTTCGGTCCCGGGGTGGCTGTGTTTTCGGAGCGGATAGTTTTAGCGATTTTAGTGGAACGGCGGCGGTAGTTCGGAGTTATGAAAACCGATTTGTGCCGAGCACCGGGGGGATTCGGTATTCGGGGGATCGGTACGTTAATGAGAGTTTTGCGCCGGCCGCGCCGGCCGTGTTTGCCCTGCCGTATTTTTTTCCGCGTTGTTCTTTCGCTTTGAACGAATAATTGAAGCCTTTCCGGAGGCGCGCCGCGGTAATCGCGCCCGACGATGACATCGTCGGCTCGGATTAAATTATTAATCGACGTTGCCGCGGGGGTAGCCAGGGGGTGGCACAGCAGCCGGCCGGCGAGAGCGCGTCGAGGGTGTTCTCGTCGGTGGACCGGCAGCAGGCGCGAGGCGCGAGGGCCGCGGGGCGGTCGCCTGCTGTTATTTTTCGCGTGTCGTAATTAAGGTTTACTACGCAAATGAAATTATGTCAGCGCGGCGCTGTTTTATCACGGATGAAACAATAATACGCGCCGCGATTTATGGTTCTCGTATTTTGCGCGCCGGTAAATATTTCTCCGCTGGGAACGCAGACAAATCATTTATCGAAATGTCGAGTTAACAATCGGATTATCCGTCGAACTTCTACGCGCAATCTATCGGTATAAATAAACAAATAAACGCGGATGGGCATTTTTTCGCCGTTTATCCGTTTCGCCGGCCGTTTCCCTCGCGGGGATTTCGAAGGATTTAATGACGTAGATAAATAATCCAATCGTATCGAATCGACGAGCTACAAAAACCGTCTCGCCGTATCACGGCCGCGCGAAATTACGCGAAAACGATGCGCGCCGTCGTTCGTTTCCGGTACGGACGTTGCCTCGATCTCGGCAATACCTCGACAGACTGTCTCGCAACCGAACTCGCGTTGGACGAAGCAAAAATTAAACGTAGCGAGCCGATCGCGAAGGATTTTTTAACACGTTCTTTCGATCTTTTTGCAATCGGAGATAAGACTGAAGCGTAATAATACTTGCTTTCGATCGACCATCGTTTTCAATGACGTCCTCTCATCTGTAAATTAATTTCTTATGTACATTTACAAACACTTTTGGAACTTTTGTACGAAGGGACTTAATATAGTTTACAAATCTTTGTTAGCAACTGTTGTTGGCAGACCTGATATTAAACTTTCTCGGACATTTTCCTGCACCTGAAACATGTTCAGTTTTTGTTACTTTCGGACAGACTCGATGCAACGTTTACATTCTTACGGATATCGAAACGAAAACTTAACGAAATAACATGCTTATATATTTCTATTTTCTATCGCTTCTAGTATAGAAATATACGAATATGGCGTTTCGTTAAGCTTTCATTTTTACATAAAAGAACGAAATATCGCTCAAAATGCAACGGTTACTTCGAGGCTACAAATATCATAAATTGCAACAAGAAAGAAGCTGGAAATTTCGTTCTCTGTTTAATCGTTTTAGCGAGCTCCTAATAATATACAGATGATACTAACTTCGTCTAATCTCTGTACGGTTTTAAATTTCACCAACCTATTTTCATCGCAAATCCATTAGAACCGCAGACAATTACAAAAACACCGAACACGACTCTTCGATAGACAAAGTGCAGTCACGAAAAGCAACGGTACCTTCCAGCGATCCTAATTGACCGATTGCAACGTTTTCGAGCTCCGATGCTCGTCGGGGTCGAAAGCTCGGTGTCCGTTCGTCCCGAGAGCAGCCTGCGCGCTCGCACAGCACGATCCCGCTTCGTTCGGCACAGAATTATTCTTTTCCCCGACCCGTTCGCTCCAAATCGTCCGCTCGTAACTATTCCTAATCCCGGTCGCAGCTCTCGTTGTATGCACGTGGAGCCGTGCGTAACGCAACTTAACGCACGTACAAGGTGCTCGACGCGGCACGAGTACTCGCGACGTGACCCCCGTGTATTACAGGTACGTTACACGCGTGTAACTTTTCGTGCGCGTGAAGGGTACAACGAGTGCTTCAGCGTGCTTCTCTCGCGAGTGTCTGCCATGTACGCGCAATTATGTTTTCGACGAACGCGGGAGAGGGGGAGAGAGAGAGAGGGAGAGGGAGAGAGAGAGAGAGAGAGAGAGAGCTGTCTCTTATACACATCTAGATGTGTATAAGAGACAGCGGTATAACGTCCAACATTCGTCTTCAACTATAGATGTGTATAAGAGACAGCGGTATAACGTCCAACATTCGTCTTCAACTATAGATGTGTATAAGAGACAGCGGTATAACGTCCAACATTCGTCTTCAACTATAGATGTGTATAAGAGACAGCGGTATAACGTCCAACATTCGTCTTCAACTATAGATGTGTATAAGAGACAGCGGTATAACGTCCAACATTCGTCTTCAACTATAGATGTGTATAAGAGACAGCGGTATAACGTCCAACATTCGTCTTCAACTATAGATGTGTATAAGAGACAGCGGTATAACGTCCAACATTCGTCTTCAACTATAGATGTGTATAAGAGACAGCGGTATAACGTCCAACATTCGTCTTCAACTATAGATGTGTATAAGAGACAGCGGTATAACGTCCAACATTCGTCTTCAACTATAGATGTGTATAAGAGACAGCGGTATAACGTCCAACATTCGTCTTCAACTATAGATGTGTATAAGAGACAGCGGTATAACGTCCAACATTCGTCTTCAACTATAGATGTGTATAAGAGACAGCGGTATAACGTCCAACATTCGTCTTCAACTATAGATGTGTATAAGAGACAGCGGTATAACGTCCAACATTCGTCTTCAACTATAGATGTGTATAAGAGACAGCGGTATAACGTCCAACATTCGTCTTCAACTATAGATGTGTATAAGAGACAGCGGTATAACGTCCAACATTCGTCTTCAACTATAGATGTGTATAAGAGACAGGGAGAGAGCGGCCAGAAAGCAGGGAGAGAGAGAGAGAGAGAGAGAGAGTAGTATAAAGTGGCGACATGAGAAAAGAGGGCAGCGAGGAAAAAACCCTAACCGCCGTTAAGAACACCGCCGACTCTTCTTTCCCCGGCGTGCTCCCTGCCCTGGGGAAACGCGGTCTAGCATTTCCATCCCCTTGCGCCGGAAAAAATAACATTTTGAAACGCCGCGGCGGTGTCGCAGGAAACACTGAGAACATAATAGCAGTAAATTTTTTCCCTGTTGTCCCTCAGCCTGTAAACAAAAGTGGACAATTTGGGAAGAGGATTATACAGTTTTCATAGTCGCCGATTGTCGGCAATTATAAAAACGAGTCGCGAGGCTGGAACAATCGTGTCTCCTCTTCCCAATTTCTCAGTTTGCGTTTACAATCTGAGGGACAATTAGGGAGAATTTACTGTACTTTCGCGCATGTAGTCGCGCCAAAACGTGTCTTTAGGTAATAATTGTTGAAGACGAATGTTGGACGTTATACCGTAATCACAACAAAAGATCCTAGAAATTACCGTAGTGCGAATACAGGGTGGCCGATGAATGACGCGAACGACACGAAACGAAAATCTCTTTCGCAAACACATGTTTCTCAAACTTTTTATTATTTCATTTGGAAGTATAATCAATGGTATCGGTATCGTGCGCGAACAACAACGTCCCCGAAATGGCCGTCGTTTTCCTGCCCGCAAATACGGGCTCCTTCCACAGCATTTCCCATCGGCTCACTTACCCCCGGCTATCTTCCTCGAGTTTCAACGATGAATTTTTTAAAGAAGCGATTAAAAACTCCGCGAGATGTGCTCGTTGCCGGACATCGCGCGCGCAGCCACGTCGATCTCCAAGGGATGCTCCGCAACCTGCGGAAAGAAAGAAACGAAAAAGATTGAAAATGACCGAGCCGTGACTTTTCCAAACCGTTCAGTGTTCGTTGGCCAGTCCGCGCGAGTCCAAAAATCGGCATTCCCAGTCGTCCGGAGCGTCTCCGGTCTCGCGCGACGTTACAGAGGAGAAACATCCCCGCCCCGAGAACTAGTAAAATAGCGGACCGCTTATTGGTCAATTAAAAATCCAGCCGGTAAATCGTTGCGCAGCGAAGCCGAGGGGGATGGGAGGCAGATCGGGATCGGGCGGCAATAAAGTTAGGAAAGTAATTACGGGCGAATGCTAGACTCGATGGTATCGGGCACCGGGGATAAGGTCCGCGTGTCGGGGCCGGTCCACCGGATGATCCTCGTCCAGAAAGTTTTCTCGTAGCCGAGGGGAAGGCACGGCTCTCGCCCGTAGAAAATGCAAGTAACGATCTTCTTGCGAGCTCGCTCGCTCGCGCGGCCGGGAGGAACGGAGCGGCCCGGTTCGAACGAAGACGGCGGACAGAGGGACCGACGAGGAGTGGTAGGCAGAAAAAAATAATGGAAAGAGCCGGAGCAGCCATAAAGAAGGGGAGGTGGAAACGGGGGGGGGGGAGATAGCAGCGTGTATTATAGGTTTGCCGAGCCTGTAATCATCGCGGGACCGCGAAACGCCCATCGACGCCCTCTCATTCTACCTCTCGCCATTCTATTTTCCTCTCTCCTTATTCGACCTATCCTCGGGCAGTTTCCTCGGTTCCTTTCTCGTCCCTGTTCTCGCTCTTTGTGTGTTTGCCGGGCCGAGCCTCCGCGTGTGCGTGCGTATAGAAGCGTGTCTCCTCGTTTCGTTCTCTCCCGCGCTCCGCCGACTCTATAATCATTATCGACCTCTTCCCAAAGCATCCACCTCCTGTCCCTTCTCTCTCTTCCCTTTTCTTCTCCTCTCCTCCCTTTTCTTCTCTTTTCCGTCTCGTTTTTTTCTCTTGTCCGACCGTTCCACCGCCACCTCCTCCTCCTCCTCCTCTGGTATCGCGCTTCCTTTAATTCTCTCTCTATGCGCCGCGCGCGGTGTTCCCGTAGACGCCTCGGGCCGACCCTCCGATGCTGCTATATCCCCGTTCACCGGAGCTGCGCCGCTCGTGACAAGCTGTTGTCCACCGCTGATTACATTTACCGACCCCCGGGGAATTGAACGGTGCCCGTAAACGTCGCGTGCCGGTTGCATAAAAATGCAAATTTCAGCGCAAGCCCCGATTCGAACGGCGAAACGCCGAATCACGCGAGCCCGGCTCCCGGATAAAACGACAGCCGATTCCGCTCTACCGCGGACGATGCTTCGCGAGATTTCCTTCGGTACGCGGCCACACCGATCGGAGACGAGGCCTTGTCCGAGTTCGGTGATTCGGTAGCGACGTATTTTCGAAATAGCCCGTCGCGATTCGATTCCAAGGTCATCGCGTTCGAACGCGCGTATTTAATTTCGATTAGCTTGTCTTGCTTCGGAAGCGAACGTGAAACCGTTCGGTCGACGGGTTTACGACGATCGGTCGAAATTTATCGGCTTTGGCATGCGGGATTCTTACCGACGTACCGCTGCGACGCCAGCTATTTAATTTGTCCTTTCGCGTGAAATTGGCACACCGGCGAAGCATGCCGAAAAGACGAACGAACGAATTCGTAAATTCCTTGCGAGAACACGGCTTCGCGGAAGATCTCTCTATTTCGACGAAGTTTTATTTTTCTTTTTTTTTTGAGGATTTCTTCGTTCAGCGATCTTAATCGTTTATAGTACTTCGACGAGTTTGACTCGCGACGACGATCTCTAGCAGCCCCAATTTAACCCATTATCCGCCAATGTCCCACTTCCGGGACACTTCAAATTTTTTTCTTTCAAAAACTGCAACTTGTAAATCGAATACAGGCATTAAAATAGCGAGAACATATCACGTGCTCCATGAAAGTATTAAGAATGCCCGCTATTTCGTTTGAAATCATTGTAAACTTTGGGTCGAGATTTATAATCTTGATCTAATTCTTTTTTGCATTTTTAAATTGCGACGGGTTAAGAGTGAATTTTACTTTCGTTCTTTCATGTCTTGTCATCGATATTTAACCCTTTGTCAGTCCCGTAAATCAGACGAGGAATCGGTTTAAAAAATTCCTACCTGAATATTTTTCATAAATTCGATCGTGTTACGCTGATGTAAAAGAAGCGGTGATTCGAGTCGTAAATGATTTGCTTTTATTTATAAAAATGAACAAATTATTCGTAAATACGTACAAAACGGTGCATACAATTTGTTCGAGCTACGAATTTATGCGTAAGCCTGCAAGCATTCGAGTAACTGCGATCGCACAACGATTCTGAATTTTCTTTTTCGTCTAAGAAACAATTGCGAATCGAAAAATATCCGATCGTTGCAACTGCGACGAAAACGGCGCGACAAGGGGTTGATCGCGCGATAAGTAATTCAACATGGGACCGGCGAGGAAAGGTTTTTCCGGCAACGTTCGTCCGGTTGGCTGACCGTTCCTCGGGTTAATTAAATTAACCACGGTTAAAGCAACGGTTAAACCATCGAGCACATCGTTATAGCCCGTTTCAAAATGATCGCGGTCGTATTCAGTGGCTTCGTCTCGTCGATACGCCATTCAAGAACGCGAAACGCTGAAAATCCTGTTCCGGTGGCATTGAAACGGCGCGGCGCGGCGCGGTGCGCAGCGAAGTCGAAATCGATTATCGCGAACGGGCTCGCGTGACAATTGATAATAACCGTCGACGCAGGTAATTACGGTTTTGTCACGTTGATCGGACCGCAGGAAACACACGGGTAACCCGTTGTTTCGGTCCGCGCTGGTTCTCTGTTATTTAACTAGAGATTAACGAGGCTTGCGAGCGGCGCGGTTGTTGCGCGCGCGTTCGGGCAAACGCGTGTCTTCTTGCTCCGGCCGTCGTTAGCACGCTTCTTCCTCGGCCCGCGGCCCGTTTAATCGCCCGTATAAATCAAAAACTCGTTTCCCGACGGCCTGTGTACCGGCGGAACGTATTTTCCCGGCGGGCCCGATACGATCGAGACGCGCGCCGCGCCAAGCCGCGCCGATCAGCCGCGATCTATCCGCTTCGCGGTTCGTGTCCACGGCTTCGCGCGAAACGTAATTTTCGTCACGTTACAGAGGAGTTCGATATCGCCCGGTGATAAATACAGTCGGCCCCGAACACCGCAGGAGACCCACCATTCCCACCATTCTCAGAATCATCACGACCACCCTATGCACATCAAGAAAATGAAAAAGGAACAGGATAAAGACATCGGCCACGTGAGTATCTACTCTGGCTTCCTCTCATTCCTCCGGAAACAAAAAGTAAATAATAGATATTAAGTAAATAATTAAACAGTCGTTAAATTTGAAAGGAAATTTAAAAAGGAAAAAAATATGCCACGATTGGAGAAGGAATGGACTTTTATGTGCTCTGGTTATCGATGATCATTAGAGATGACGGAAATAATTTTTGTTTATCTATAACCGTTAGAAACGACGGGAATAGCTTTCGGTCACAAATAACCGTTATAGATAACGGTAAATTGTTTCTTTGTTACAAACGACAATTATCGATGACGAGAATGTTAATTCGATATGCCGGTAACCATTATAATTGTCGAAAACGTAGTTTTTCGTTCTGAATAACCATTACCGATTGTCAGAATTATACATATCGATTACGAGCAACCATTTTATCGACGATCAGAATTTTATTTTGGTTCGCCGGTAATCGATATCGACGAACAACGCTTTGTTTTCTTACGTCTGGCTGTTGTCAATTATTGTTATATCGAAAGCGTGTACCTAAAATCTGTGGCAAAAAGCAAGCGATAACGAGGATATTATCTAACCCGGACAATGTACAGGGTATCCGTAGCATGTGGGACCCATTTCAATAATAGATTTTACCTACGGAAACGATAAATTGTAAATTTATTAAAAACATGTATTATATCATAGTTTCCTCAGAATAATTATTCGTATTCTTCCATTCGTTCGTTTTATTTCGCCTTGGCCTTCGAATATCCAAAACATCGTTAAAATCCAGGGGAAAAAAAATCGTCGCCGGTTCTTCGCGACGAGTACGCGCTCGTCGGAAAACGGCTAATCGGCCGAACGAAATCGATGTACTGGAAATCGTATCTGGAAAGATAAAATGCATCGTGCAAGTTCTAATCGAATAAGTCGTTCACTCGAACGTGTCGCGATAAAAATTAATTTACAAAACCTGGCCGAAGATTGTCGGCCATTGTGATAACCCTTGTACGGGCAGCCGATTAATATAATCCGAAGTTATGTCACACGCTGGCATTATAGGAATCGCATTAGTGTGCTCTGCTTGGAAATTATTAAATCGATGTGCTCTTGCAATTTTTATCGGAAATCAAGTAGGTTTATTTGCTCGACAAGCATTTATCGATTATCGGCGAGATTACAGTTTGGTACAACGTTCTCGACGAAGTCGTTGTAAAATGATCCGAGATTCGAAGGGGTCGAGCGCGGTGTAACGCGTAAATCGTAACGAATTTCTCTCGGATGTCGACGCTTCCATTCTCCTCTCGAGATCTTCGTGTTTACCGGAGATAACGACTGACAAGGTGTTTTAATTAAACCACTATCGTACAACAACGATGATGTAATTATCATTATTTTGATAGAATACTAGCGCGAAAGAAGCGTTGAACCGTATTCGAGACGTTAAATAAGATAACGCTGATTAGCTTAACCAATATGTAACTTTGATATGCAAACTTCGCGATGTGTATTCGACAAACATTCTCTCAGGCGGTAGTAAATCCTTCGTTCCGTTAAGTCTAAACTAACGCAATCGGGCTTTGGGAATCACAAAACACGGTGCAGATTTTAGAAATTCTCTAGGCTCGTTCGAGCTCTTACGGAGGACGGCGTAGGTCCTTTTGCCGATCACGGAACGCATCGAACGTTAAAATTAATCATTCTTCTCTTTTTATTCGAAGGTACAATCGAAGATAGTTTTTAGGTCGATAGACACAGGAAGACCAAAAACATACCTGTAACATAAAATTCGTTCTTCGTTCTTTTACGCAGCATCGTATGTCTGCATATCTTAAGCGTGCACGACGAAATTAATTTCAAATATTCACACTGCAAAAATAAAAACGTTTACGATTCCATCTCTTGTTAGTATCTTGTAGATCGATTCGATTGATTTTCGAGAAGTCCGCTCGGGGTTTGCCAAAACTTTTAATCAGAATATCGAAGAGACATATCTGCAAAAATTATCGCAACGTTGTGCCAACATCGCCAGCATGCACGGTGTGTTTTATCTGCTGATTCGGGAAAAGTGGAGATAATTTCTCCGGAGCTGCATGATTCAATATTGTCCGGCAGACTGTGAATTTTACGCTAGAAATGTAAGTGCACGAAACACAATGCATTCCTGTGTACTGTAATCTTATTCCGTCTACATTATACTGTTATACTTGTGTATTTTTGTCTGTGTACATTGATAAAAAGAGATTAGACATCTTGTACCTTTTCGGAATATTGCCGTTTTCTGGAAAGTGTGAGAACGGAAATCCAAAAGTGTCCATAAACAAGCATGGTATATGAAACCTTATGTTATATATATGTTAAACCTTATTGCTCCAAAAATATTAAAAGTTGTTGCACGATACTGTTTGATAAATAGCGCAAACTTGTGCGATGAGATTTGTTCCTATCTGCAATAGGAACAGAGTTACTCGGAGAACTAGAGCCCAATCCTAGATTCACCCGGCATATTAACCTCTTGCTGTGCCATTATTTTCATAGTTGTAACGATTAGAAGTCCTTCGATGATAATAGCTTCTTTAGAAGTAAGCGGAAATTTATATTTATCCGCGGTTTTAATTTATATTTAAATATTTATATTTAAATTTATATTTAAATATTGGTGACGCGGGGGATAGGATTTTAAACTAAAGTAATCTCGATCTCCAAAATATCTCCATCAGGAGTCGGGCTCTTTCAAGTATACGGCAAGGGGTTAAAAACGCACGAGTGATTATTAGTTGGTGCGACAAGGGTTACATTTGGCCTTGACACTAAACTTACCGAGCATTAAAACCGACTAACATGTTTGTCGTATAGAAATAACAAGACTGAGTCAATACGATTGTCTAATTTATTAGACAAATAATTACACAATATTTTAGACAAGGTAATTATGTTAACACTTGGAAGAAGGTGATACCTGAGGTGATTTGAAGTAACTCTTTCCTTAGCGAAAATGCAATCCACGGCTCCGTTTACGAGTTATTAAAGAAAAAACGATGACCAATGAGAGGAGAGCTCGGCCGGCGCGAGGCGGCCGAGCCAATGAGCGGACGAAGCCCAGTTCCGGGAGATTGGCTCGGCCGCCTCGCGCCAGCTGAGCTCGCCTCTTATTGGTCACTGTTTTTCGTTAATAACTCGTAAACAAAGTCTCGTAGAACATTTTCGCTAAGGAAAAAGTTGCTTCAAATAAACTCACGAATCACTCCTCTCCGGATGTCGACACAATTATGGGACAACTTGTATGTTTGAACTAGGAAATTTAACAATTTCAACAATTTTAAAATAGAAATTGTGATACCGGTGAACCGGTTAGCACTAATCGTACCAAATGGTTAAAAGTGACTGCGTCGCCTTACACGAATTACAGTATCGCACTTATTTAGATATTTCTCAATTTTTATATTAACATATGTTGGAATGAATAAATTTATCGAACGGTTTCCGGTGGATGTGTCTTTGTATATCAATAATCGCCGAACAAGAATCGTCGTACCGGTCATTCGACCGGCGACGATGACACGGGTTAGCGTTAAATAGCCGAGAAATGCTAATCGAATTATTATTGCTCTGACAGAGCGACGGCGAAAAAAGTGATCAGGACCTGGTGGTGGACGACGCCAGCGAGGGACCAACCAGCCCAGTGGTAAACGGAACGACGTCGCCCCGGGAGAACGGGCTGGACAAGGTGCCCGCCATGAGCGCCAGCATTCAGACGAAAAAAGACGTTCCGCCCCACTCTCCTAGAAGTGGGACGAGCAGCAACGCGAGCACCCCGTCCGCGAAGAAGATGGAGGATCGGGAGAAGCCAACCACACCGATCTCGAAGCCTTTGACGCCTACCTCTGGCTCGGCGATCGGCGCAGCCGGTCTGAAACCCTCGGGTTCGGGGAAACTACTTCAGGGGCCGCCGCCTCCCGGTGTGCCGAGCGCCTATCTCCAGCACTATCCTCCCGGGCCTCCGTCTCACCATCTGGCACCAGCTGGCCAACATCCTCACGTCGACATGATGGGCTATAACGGCTACGTGGCGCCTAGAGCACCGCCTTCGCAGCTCTACGATCCCCACGTGGCCATGAGGACTCCCATGGGATCGGTCGGAGTACCCGGAGGCAAACCGTGAGTACACATCCTCGACACGCTCTTTAGAACCCGTCATCCTTCGGATACAGCTCGGCTTTTATTGCCGGTCCGCTCGGCCTGGCTTGATTTGAATAAAACCTCTTCGACGCGAAATTACGACGAGACTTTCTTACGCACGAGACGGACGACGCGCTCTTGGACATTTCGAACAGCTGTACGATTTCGTTTTCGTGAAAAGAGCATCGCTGTCAAATTTTCCGCGTTTTTTGCCTACCATGTCAAGCCTTCGATTCGGCGCGAGCCGTGCATTGTGAAACATTGCCGTACGATCTTCGCTTTACCGTGATGTCTCTCTAATTGACGCTCCGATCGTCCACAAAAATGGACAATTTTTGGAAGAGGAAATTTGATTGTTCGATGTTGTAAAATGAAAAGATACTTAAAAGCACTTTATTCAGAATTACAAATTCTACTCCAGAACATTCGCGTATCCAGTAAAATAAATGATGGTGATATATTACAAAACTACAGAGATACAGAAAATATGGTGTTGGTGAAATCCCGAGGTGGCAACCTCATGGTTCGGTTTCTACTTTTGAACTAACTATCGCCTGAGCCGACCTGGGCCTATGTCGCCAACGGCTCACCCTCACAAAAGGGTCATAAAACAGTTCGATGGGTCATCGTTGAAATTCCAGCATTCGAGCCTTGCGGTTCATTTTTATAGTTACGAATTGTCAAGGTTATGTCTTCTCGCCTCCAATTGTCCATTTTTGTGCACAATCTTTGCGTCAGTTAGCGAGATATTGCTGTATTTGCCACGAGTTTTGCCGGTATTGGGTTCGATAAGCGCGCCGGCGAAGTCGCGAACAGTATGTATTCCCTCTCTGTGTACCGTGTTTCGGTGTCCGTCGAGTAACGCGCGGCGATGGTGAGCCACGTTTCCTGTCACATAATCGATGTCTATTTTGATCTTGATGAAACACGAGCTTCGTACTTTCCTTCCTGTATATCGTCGCGTTTAGTTTATACGATATTCATAAACGCGCAGCTTTGCGAGGAAAGTCGGGCGACGAAATAGAAAATTCTGCGACGTCGGAAACGATTAAGGTACGCGTAATTTTCCAACAAATGGAGAAGCACGCTTGTCATTTCACTTCTGTGTCCCGCAGCCGACTTACAATTGCGCACTTTTTTATATTGCGCGATGATCCGCGCCGTCTGTTTGTAGCTTAATTTTTCAGAAAAAATTACGTACGGAAAAATTACTCGTACGAGTCGTAAAGATCTTCGATTTGGAAGTACGTTGATATACAGGGTGTCCCAAAACTGTCTCGCAATCCGAAAGTGGCGGGTTCCTCGGGTCGTTCGAAGCAACTTTTTCCTTTACAAAAATGTTCTCCGAGGCACCATTAACGAGTTATTAACGAAAAGGGCCGAGCCAATGAGCGGAACTGGGATTCGGCCGCTCGGCCGCCTCGCGCCAGCTGAGCTGGGATTCGACCGCTCGACCGCTTAGCGCGAGCTGAGTTCGTCTCTCATTGGTCACTGTTTTTCGTTAATAACTCGTTAACGGTGCCTCGAAGAAAATTTTTGTAAAGGAAGAAGTTGCTTCAAATGATCTGTGGAATCCACCATTTCCGGATTGCGAGACATTTTCGAGACTCCCTGTATACACGCGAGGAATGTACTATAGTGAATTCTCCTTAATCGCGGCTCGTTTTTGTAGTCGCCAATTGCGAACAACTGGCAAGGCTCGAATAATCGTATCTCCTCTTCTCAAATTGTCCATTTTTGTGCGCAATCCGACCGTCAATCAGGGAGAATTTACTGTAATCGCTCGACGACGAGTCGCGAATGAAACTCCGCTGCTTTTCAAATTGGATCCTAGCGTCGTAATTCGAAAGTAGCGACACGGTTGCTAATCGGACGGCGGGATGCGTCGTCTATTTCAAGTCCCGCGACCGATGCTTCGATGAGAATGTAGATCATTTTCCCGGCTATACATACACGCGAAGGTGTTCCGTTTACCTTGTCGTTCAATGCGGACGATATCTCTCGGGTTTGGCAAGTGACGTGCGTCCCGAGACTCGTAACCAGTTCTCCAAACAAATCTAAATTGAACGAAGGCTAAGTAACTACAAGCTGTTTGCTTTCCTGTAGATCGAAAATGCGTCGGTGCCTTAAGATAAGACCTTTCGACTGCGCGTCGTATAATATTGGACGAAGGATATTAAATATATTTAGCGCGTTTATAGACGCGACCGAACCGAACGAATAAATCCTCTCGCGAAACTCTGCGCAGACCGTGGAAGATTCCAGCAGATGGAAGAATATTTCAAGCTCTCAGGGACGAAATCGCATATTCATACGGATTCGATCTTTTTTTTTTCGCAGTTCTTCTGTTGTCGAAAGAAGCAGGAAACGTTTACACAGGTTTTCCGGTTTTTCTGCATCAATTCGAGCAGTCGCGGTTCTACGAAGAAAATACGGAGATAACTTCTTGTTGGAAAATCTGAGATTTACGAATTAGCGATGCATTTGTTTTTTACCTTGTACGTAATCGTGATAATAACAAGTTATCTATAGGAATCCTTTGATGTTCTTGTACGTAAGAACGATTAGACTGTTAATCGTTGTGCAGAATTAAAATTATTTGCATCAGTGACGTTTAAATCTATCAGCTATATATTTTACATTTCTCTTATTCAGATAATACCAATCCGGACATTTAAAAAATTCCTGAAACTTTGGGGACCTCTATTTGATTATTTTTATAATTCATAAACTGTACAAGATAGAGAACAAGTTTTCAAACGAAAGTTGTCCAAATCTATCGTGCGATATACGATTTGTTAATTTTTTAAACAATTTTGAAAAGGTTACAAACAAATGGATATTTTTCATATACCAGACAACAGGTTTGGACAAAAAAAGTAACTTTTGTTTCGAGCCTTTTTTCTATCTCGTACAGTTTGCGAATTATAGAAATGAAACAAAAAAATAGCCGAATAACAGAGGGTTAATTTCCACCCTGTTAAAGTGAATTTACGCAACTGTTACATGTCTTCGGGTATCTAATTTCGCAAAACGGATCATAATTAACGAAAATCGAGAGTAAAACAGCGCGTTGGAAACCCAAAAGAAAGAACGGAAAACCTGAAACGCTTTGTACACTGGACCATAAAATATTCCGGCGGACCGGTTCGATAACATTTTTGTTAATGCCCGGGTGAACCGGACCACGATTTATCCGGGATTTCCGTTTACTATGAAAATTCCGCGACCCTATTGTTTATTGTGGCTGCGAGCGGTCAGAACACGCGGCGTTATCAATATTTTTTAGTTTAAAGCAAATGTCTGTGCGACGAGATTAACGGTCAAGATAAAGAGCGATACGACATGAAATGTTGCACACAACGGATGTATGTAACAGCGTCTCTTTTTTTTTCCTCCCCCCTCGTTTTTTCCTCCGCGTCCATTAATGTACAAGATAATATACGACATCGAAAACTGCATAGATAGACGCGATAGGGAATGTCGCGTTCGTTTCGATCGATGCCGCCAATTAATCACCCCATTATTTATTCCAGCCTCCAGATATATTTTCGTTACGGTGTCGCCCGATGTGTAAGCGATATTTTAGCGACTTGATCGGGTGAATAATGGATTTCGACTTCCGGTATCGGATTCGGGCTGACGCGCGGTCGTCAAACCTTTCAAGTTATTCGCGGAGCGACGCGGATTTTAAATAAATCGAAAAGACGCGAATACAGTCGCTCGTTTCGGTTGCTCGGCATCCTTCCAACGATCGCGCCTCTGTTACGATGTTATTTTGTAAAGCTGGTTAACGGTACGTGGCTCATCCTCAACCCTTGCACAATGGAACATCGGCGAACGGTTGAGAATATCGCGCAGGCTGCTCTTTGAAATCGCGTTATCAGACCCAACGGTGCGATCATAGGAAGGGAATATTATTCTGTTTGTTACATTATCATCGTTGCACCGTTGAATCCATCTACCTTGTCATTTATGATTCACGATTAATATGCGCGGCCGCTGCACGATAGAAATATATTGATAATAATTACAATTTCAAAGACGGTGCTGGTTGTGCATACGAATTCTTCACCGTTTTCGGGTAGACGAAAGATTCATTGAAAAGCAATAAGAACTCGATCGACGAATTTTCGTTAAAATCAAGACAGATCTTGTTTATGAAACGTTCAGCGTGTTCTTGTTCCTTTTTGTATCAAATGTCCGATGTTTCTCGCGTGCGCGCGAGAGTGTAGCCTGGTTTGGACCAGCGAACGTGTTGCTCACAAACTCTGTAAGATTGCAGGTGGAACTTATAACCAGACTGCGGATTTTTATGGGAAATAAAAATTGCCGCTTCAATTGCAAAAATTAGAAATTAAATTTCGTTTCTTTCTTTCTCGTGAATAGCTTTTTTCTTTCAGTAATAATTTTTGAATCAACGCTAAATTAGTAGCATTTTAAACTAGTATTTGAAATTGCAACTCTACTCAATTTTCCCATAAATGCATCGAACCCGCAGTCTATTTATAACGATACTATTATAACAGAAGAACCTCTGTTACGATCGGTGGCTCAGAAATCATAGTGGCGTGTCTGACGTGTTCGGAATTTTTGTCGCGTCTCTTAAAATGTGGTCTAATAAATGCCAAAATGTTAATTGCACAAGTGAAACGAATTACAAAGTTACTATAAATCAACTTAACTCTAAATTATCTCAACGGCGGTTCTTTCTGATAAAATATAACTCGATATATCTCGGTTTATCTTTTTATTTGTCAACTTTTTTCCACATATATATTTTATAACATTCCTTCTAGATACCTCAGCATTTCTACAGGCTTTGCTGTAACACGTGAACATTGACATTAGTTATCAGAAACTCGACATTCGGATATCAATTTTTCCAGCCTGGATCCGAATGGACCCCGAGTCCGTCGTTCGAGCGTTAACAATGAGTTTGATCGGTAGACGATACACGCGTTAGTAAAGCATAACGCTTCCTGTTTCTCGCGATCAGCAAATTATTTCTTACGCCACTGCGATTACTGCGATCGTGATCCGCTTAATTATCCGCAGACTAGATCTTTATCGATCTACAAGAACGACTGGACAGTTTCCATATGAAATATGTTCAGCTAATCGAGTTTCCGCTGCAATTACGATACTTTTTCCCCCGATGATACCCAGTGGTCGAACAACAGGTCCAGGTCCAAAGTGGGCTACCCTCCTCTCGGCGAACGTTCGACAGCCGACCGAAGTGCTCCGAGGAAACGCGAATACCGAAAGATCTGAAATTTTTCAGTTTCTGGGTAGGCGTAACCCCATAAGGAAGTTCACACGATTCATTACCGAACAAGCCATCGAGTTATGCGGGGCCGCGCGCGACTAGCTTGCCAGCTAGCGATTCTGCCTTGTGGGGAACCAGCCTATCGCCGGTGGTAAACACGCCTGTTCGCCGCACGAGTCGCATTTTTTTCTCCCGATCTGTGTTCCAGTGCGTACAGCTTCCACGTGTCGAGCGAGGGCCAGATGCAGCCGGTGCCCTTCCCACCGGATGCGCTGATCGCGCAGGGGATACCGCGTCATGCGCGGCAAATTAATACCCTCAGTCACGGGGAGGTCGTGTGCGCCGTCACGATCTCGAATCCGACCAAGTACGTGTACACCGGCGGCAAAGGATGCGTCAAGGTCTGGGACATCGGACAGGGCGGCACAGGAAGCACCAAGTCGGTATCGCAGCTCGACTGTCTGCAGCCTGATAACTACATCAGGTCAGTGGTTCTCCCTTGCGAATTCATTCGGTTCGCGTTTCTTTTTCTCTTCTTTTTTTCTCTCTCCGCGCCTCTACCGTCACCCTTCGCTCCTATCTTGATCCGAGAACCCCTCCTACCGCGCACGAATCTTTATGCATCGATAAGGTACAAAATCTGCAATTTGTAAAGTGCAAGGTACGGCGCCGGTCGGAAACGAAAAGATCTCCGCGAATTCGTTTTTCTTGTAATTACACCGTCGGCGTTTGTGCGGAAGACATATCAACACCCTAAACGATTCTATAAAATTAACGCATTGCACTCGCGCGAATTTAACTTTTTCAACTGTGAATTCAAAATAGATTTTCTAACTTGCAGTATCTTCATTTTGTACGACTTATCGAGTGCATTTTATTTAACACGTTGAATGCCACGGGGGTCACCGGTGACCGGCACTTAACTTGGCGGTGACGCCATGGGGGCCATCGGTGACCGGCGCGCCCAAATTGATAGAAATATATATATATATATAATTTCAAACAAATGTCAATATCTAAAATTTTGTATTATCATCATGTCGCAATTAACATGTCGAACATGGTTATACGCTGTAACTTATCTATTGCAGATAATATTTCAACATTATATGTATCGCATAAAAGAAAATTCATCGTGGCGCGACGGACAATTTTTTGTTGAAGTATAAACGAATTCGATAATTTGGAATACAATTATTTGAAAACATTACGTAACAATTTTAAACGGCGAGTCGGAGTCACCAGCCGAGTGCAAAGGTTCGAGCTATTTTACGCATCAGTTTTCGTTGCAACCGAATCGTCGGTTATAGGATTAATAACTACAAACGGATCGTACCGTTTTACGTTCCACCGTAAATTCGTCTAAATCGTGCGAATTTGTTTTCTTTTCACCGGCGTGCCGTAAGTCGCGGGCAAGTTAAATCGAAAGAGCGGTATTTGCGCTTTCCAACGGTATATTGCGTAGCGAACATAAATTAGAAATGCGCGCGGCGTAGACACGCTCTGATATTTTATTGTCAGTCGTTCCCGTTTTTCGATATTCATCGGTGTTCGATATGTTTTCAAGAGAAAACTGGGCAAACGTATGAAAGTGAAACGATTTTAGCAGTTTATTNTTAACTTGGCGGTGACGCCATGGGGGCCATCGGTGACCGGCGCGCCCAAATTGATAGAAATATATATATATATATAATTTCAAACAAATGTCAATATCTAAAATTTTGTATTATCATCATGTCGCAATTAACATGTCGAACATGGTTATACGCTGTAACTTATCTATTGCAGATAATATTTCAACATTATATGTATCGCATAAAAGAAAATTCATCGTGGCGCGACGGACAATTTTTTGTTGAAGTATAAACGAATTCGATAATTTGGAATACAATTATTTGAAAACATTACGTAACAATTTTAAACGGCGAGTCGGAGTCACCAGCCGAGTGCAAAGGTTCGAGCTATTTTACGCATCAGTTTTCGTTGCAACCGAATCGTCGGTTATAGGATTAATAACTACAAACGGATCGTACCGTTTTACGTTCCACCGTAAATTCGTCTAAATCGTGCGAATTTGTTTTCTTTTCACCGGCGTGCCGTAAGTCGCGGGCAAGTTAAATCGAAAGAGCGGTATTTGCGCTTTCCAACGGTATATTGCGTAGCGAACATAAATTAGAAATGCGCGCGGCGTAGACACGCTCTGATATTTTATTGTCAGTCGTTCCCGTTTTTCGATATTCATCGGTGTTCGATATGTTTTCAAGAGAAAACTGGGCAAACGTATGAAAGTGAAACGATTTTAGCAGTTTATTCAAAAGAATCGACGATGAATTTACTAGAGCAGAAACAGGAGATCGCCGTTTGATCCCGAATAAAAACGACGCATTTCTATGCGTCGAAGTCGAGGCGAAATCAAAATGGGGAGCCAGCCGCCTGGCCCGTTGTTACAAGACAAAGGGTTGACTGGCAAACTTTTGAACAGTCGGCGCTCATATATTATTCATTCGCGATAACGACAGACCTCGTCTGTGCAATGGTAACTCGGTTCGCAGTACGACGGTTCTCTCATTACTCAATTTAACGCTAGAGAGACGAGTGTTTACTTGTGATACACCTGAGCACGAAGTCCCCTTCGTCGATTCTTCCACATGGAATAGTGCCGTTACGCTTCTCCCGTATCCACGATGAGCCAAACGTATCATCGAATTACATCTTTTCGAGTTAGTGGCGCGGATAATTGTACAAAATTTTCATAAACGAATCTTGATGGGAAACGCAAGGGTTTTCCAGCAGCCGCCTTCGTCCGTCCGACACCCGTGTAATTTTATCGCGTTAGAGCTCAGCGAATTTGTACGAATTTACATTCTCGTATTCGAGAGCAGCAAAACACAAGCGATCGAAGCTTCGTATATTTCCCGATCCATTTTTATCGTACGATAAGATTTTACAGGTCGACCGATGAACGATGAGTAAATGAGATTGAAAGAAATTCGACGACAAATATCGAAACAACGTCCGAGAAATTCGTCTCGGGAAAATCGCGTACGATGCACGCGAATTATCGTGGAAGTATCGGCGATAAAAATCGCGGACGGTTTGCAATTAAACATAAATAAAAGCCGCGCTTTCGATGTTAAACATTACGAAGAAGCAATGAATTGCAAATTGAATTCCGCGGAGCGCGAGGGATTACGTGATATTTTTCGAGTCGACAATATTCACAACGTTTTTTGCCAATTTCCTTTTATTTTCGAAAGCGCGCAAGGGTGAAACGGTTATGAGCAGAAAGCGTGCGGCCGCGCGTGAAACATCGCGATCGCGCGTCGAGTATTTCGGTATTCCCGGCGCACCGTGGAACGTTGAAAAATCACGTGGAAGTGTCGGTGATAGAATAAACGGGATGTTCGGCATTTTTACGATGCATTTGCGAGCGTTGCACGTTTCACCGTCGCGGGACGGAATAATATCGGTCCCGTATGACTGTTAATGCCCGCCGATACGGCCGGTAATTGAACCTCCAGCGGGTTTTTTGAACACCGGTGCCCAGTCCACCGGCAAATTCAATACATTTCCCCCGGTAATGCACGCTTCCCCGCATTAAAAGGTACTTTATGATCCATCCATCAGTCACAGTTGCTAATCACGGCCAGTGCCGCGCGCTCACGCTCGATCTAGCCACGCACGGATGCGCAAAAATAATTATCATTTTTATAACCGGTGAAACCGAGCGAACGGACCTCTCGATTTTACGACGCGTCGTTGCATATTAAACGGGAATCGTGAAATTCTTTGTTTATCCTCGCGCGTTTCGTAACGCGCGCGGCGAACGGCGACGAGAGAGACCGCCGCCTCGTGAATTACAACCACTTAAATCCTCTCTACAGCCGAACGCTGTTTCTCCGCGCGGAAAGCGTTTTCGATGTCTAATTGCTTCTTCAAAAGTGTTCCGATTACCGAAACAGAAGGCGAACATCGAACCTAGACGGTTTCGTTCTCTAAACCGTAGGGCAAGATCTCGCGGTTCTATAAAAAAAAGAAAGAAAGAAAAACAAAAAGGTGATTTCTGAGCGCGTCTCGGTCGTTAAGTTTGAAACAAAAAGGATGCGAGTTTTTATTTTTCCTTTTACGTGTTTGTTGAACTCGTTCTTAAGATCCTCGCGCGATACGGCCGTACAAAAAGCACGGAACATAGTAGCCCCGGGTTAATTAACGTTATGTGGACAACCGAGTTGCTTTTTGCTCGCGCGAAAATATCGTAAATTACCCCCGGGATACCATTCTCCCGGGCCACTGTCGCAACGATTTACATTTAACCCTTTAAGCGACCAGACCGCGACGGTCGCGTTGCTCGATAACATTTATTAAAAATTTAATCGCATGCTAATCGAATGCTTCGCGCGCCATTTTATTCCACCGATTTCTCGAACGTTCTTCAACCCATTGACTGGCAACTACGAGATACCTCGTAGTAAGCGTCTGTGCCAAAACTGCCAGCTACGAGATATCTCGTAGTGGGTGCTGCAAGTTTAGATTGCCTATAAATGGCTATTCGAGTTAGGAGCTATTGGAAAGGATGAATGAAAAATGTATATAGTGTAGAGAATTTTTGTAGAGATCTTTCAATAAAAATACTGTAAATGCCATTGCAATATTATATCAGTAATTTAATATTATTATATTTGGTAAAACTTCGTGTTTTCTTTCAAATAAAACCGTGACAAGGGCAAGACGCGCTAAATTTGCGTGGCAGTCAATGGGCTAATCGATGAAACCGTGTTACTTGTACTTTTGAAATCGTGGAACAACTTGGCAAATCGTTTATGGGGTTAAGCGATACAAAGTTGCGATCGCTTTTTCGATTATTTTATTACGTTACACTCGTACGGAATGGAATCGAAGTTCACGCTGACAATAAGAGATATCGTTTATGCGAATAAGTACGACGATGGTCTATACCTAGATTCAGAAATCGCGCAACGCCACCCTGACGTGTCTCGTATCGGAACGTGTCATCGCATCGTGTTGCTTTTCGTCGAACGCGTCGACTGCCTGAAAAATTTCATAAAATTAAAGTCCTTTATCCAATCGAATTAAAATCGAAGAGTAAACTTGCGCGATATCGACTATATACTTCGTCAACGTTGTTAGGTACATACGGACGGTTCCAGGAACCAATCGGTTGTCGCGTTTGAAAACGAGCGACGCGGTGCAAGCGCGCATCTTTATCGTAGGATCTTTCGGGCGATAAATCACAATGCAGCCGATTTCTTCGTGAACAAACATTAGATAACAGCAGTTATATCGACCACGGAGAGCGATGAATCAAAATTGTTTCACATCTCTCTTCCGTTCCTCTTCCGATCGAGTTCATCCGCGCGTCATCTTACGATAAAAATTGTGCATTGTTTGCGGCATTGTTATTCTTGTACAGCAGTACAAGATCTTTATTTCAATTCTAAGGTTAACCCTTTGCACTCGAAGCTATTTTAATTATATTTTAAACATATTTTCTGATCTACAGTGTTTCTATTTTATACGATTTATTGCGATTTATGCATACGAAAGCCTATTGGCAAGTACAAAACTTGCAATTTTAAGAGTCTCTGTCAAAATATTGGATCAAAAAGACGGTTCTATTTGATAAAATTAACAATTTTATTACTAATATTTACTTATTCGCTCGACGTTAACATATACCATATACGTAATAAACGAAAAACCCAGGAATAATCGAATACTTATAAAAGTTAAAAATTCAAATTGCTGTATTTAGCAAAGCGAGGAACAATATATAATGGCACTTTGCGCGTCGAACACCAATACCGTGATTCTTTTCTAATTTTATTTTGATAACAGTGTAAACAACTTCGCGCAGCATTGGCCTGAAAATATTCTGAACATCTTGAAATTTCAGAATATGTTTTCGTTTTCCTTAAAATTACAATTTAAATAGCCATTGGTCGCTGCTTCTTACGCGCCACTATACTCGTCGTGTCACAAGATATTGCCATTTCTCCATGACGAGTATACTCGTCGAACACAGCCAACTGGTTAATTTCCAAATACGAGCAAATAATTCCATCGAAGAAAACCGAAACCAAAGGAAGTCGAAAGTAGTCTAACAAAGGTCTCGAACGTCGAATGTCCAGGTCGGTGAAGCTGCTACCGGACGGCAGGACCCTGATAGTCGGCGGGGAGGCTAGTCGACTCAGCATCTGGGATCTGGCCAGTCCGACGCCGAGGATCAAGGCCGAGCTAATCTCTTCTGCCCCCGCCTGCTACGCGCTGGCGATCTCGCCGGACTCGAAAGTCTGCTTCAGCTGTTGCAGCGACGGCAACATCGCTGTCTGGGATCTGCAAAATCAGTCTTTGGTCAGACAGTTCCAAGGTCACACGGACGGCGCGTCTTGTATCGACATATCCGCGGACGGGTCGAAGCTCTGGACCGGTGGACTGGACAACACGGTCCGCTCGTGGGACCTCCGGGAAGGCAGACAGCTCCAGCAACACGACTTCACCTCCCAGATATTCTCCCTCGGCTACTGTCCCACAGGGGAGTGGCTCGCGGTCGGCATGGAGAACTCGAACGTCGAGGTGCTGCACGCCACCAAGCCGGACAAGTATCAACTGCATTTGCACGAGTCCTGCGTCCTGTCGCTGAGATTCGCGTCCTGCGGCAAGTGGTTCGTCTCCACCGGCAAGGACAACCTGCTGAACGCGTGGCGCACGCCTTACGGAGCTTCGATATTCCAGGTAAGGATTGGATTTTCTTGGAAATCGGGATTGTCCGCATCCGTTGCAAAATAAGAACGGGACTAACTTGCACGTTTCATTATTTCTTGAATCATTTCAGTAAGTCGAAAGTAATGTAAATAGGAAGAAATTTTAAAACCGCGAATTAGCTTGTCCAAGAACATTTTATTCTTTTATTTTGTTATCATACTGTAGCGCTTTTTCAAACGTGTTTGAAAAGGTCTCGTCAGTCTGCTCAATTGTTAGAAGAAGCCTCTATACAAAGTATTTGTAATAATATTATTATATATTATAATATATAATTTATATATAATTTTATAATATACAATTTTATATATAATTTTATAATATACAATTTTATATATATAATTTTATAATATAATTTTTATATATTATAATATACAATATTATAACAAAATATTTTTGAGGACCTTTGTGCTTCGTAGTGGATGGATGTTACACTTGTAACCTCAGGTTGTTGACTTCGTATTGAAAATCTGTGCTATCTACTTTCGATCGTAAATTGTAGGATATCCCGCAATGTGCACTAAACGATGTGATACTTTGTAGAAAGTTGCTAGTTCGCGCATCACATTTTTTTATCCCGTAATTGCACGAGCATAAACCTCTCACCTACGGAAGTATTCAATATTTTTTGCAGGCCCCGAGTAACTTAACAATCTCTTCGCGTGTCTATTTCGTATTCCATCGGGCTCTTAGTATTCTTAGCGGTTCCAATATTAGTCGGAAGCCAGAAATTCTTGAAAATCTTGACACGAAGATAACAGTTGAATGCATTGATCGGAGAGGTCGATATTAATTATTTGACATCGGATATTGGTTTCTCCAAGTCGGTACGGATTTAGAAAGAAACGAATGAAAACATTGGAACGATCGAAACGGAAATTAAATTTTCTTACGTTAAGTATTTCCAGAAGTTATAATAAGCGAAAACCGTATTAAATCTTCGTTAAGGTCTACGTCTTCGTCTCTGCACTCTGTTCGAGCTTGTACGATACAGTTTCTGTGCAATTAAAGTCACCATGCCCGCCATGTTCGTCATCTTGAATTATATCGAGCATGATGGAGGGTTTTTCAATACTCTGTCATTGACAAAAATCGACAAGTACAATAATTAACTGTGTGCGAGACACACAATTTAAGATGGATGATTAAATTATTACTTCATATTTGTCATTTATTTGAACGCAATTCGATGTCAAGAATGGAATTAAAAATACGCTTACAATGGTGTATTTTTTAAAATTATAAAACGTTATTATGTTTTCAATGACATACGATGATGACGACGATGATTCTGCAATTTTTGAACCAATGTACAGCCGTGCCAGCATCATGTCAAACAACTCGTTGGATTAATAATTCGCTATAATAGTTCTCTGTAGATTATAGTCGGGACAAAGCTTAAATACTTATTAGAATATATGCGTACTTGAACCGTGGCTCTATGTGAAAATAGAGAGTAATTTTTTCGCGATAATTTAATCATCCGCTATCATAATGAGAGTAATAACATTATCATAACACCGATAAATCTTTAACGCTAGATTTACGGAACCCGTCAAAATGGCGGATCACTGATTTTTTAAATTTACAATTACTCGTATCGCAAAGATACATTTACGAGTTATTTATTCAATTTATATATTACTCGCGGCAAATGTTACAGTAACACTTGTTAAAAATCAGAATAAATGTCTCATCGTTACTTTTACAAATTAACCCTTTCGCTACGGGCGGATTCTCCGTCGCGGTACTTCTGCTGAACAGAGCGCTGCGACATCACTGCACGCTACGCGACGGCGATCGTCAGCGGAAGTCGGTACTCCGCGGCGGTCGGCGGAGAACCTAAGCTGTTTGAATTGAATGAATTTTTCGAACGAAAAAATTTTTCTCCAAAGGGTATTTATAAATAAAGGGTATTCCAGGGTATTTTATAACGTCTTAGTATGCGCTCTTTAATTTACAGTATGAGAGGAAATAACATTATGCAATATAATGCATCTTATGGAAAGCCACTATAGTGGTCCGTAGTACCTCAGTGGCATCATATGGAAAGCCACTATAGTGGCCCGTAGTAGCGAAAGGGTTAACATAAAACAGCTGTTTCTTGCGCTCCGTAAATCTAGCGTTAAATAATCGTGTGCCGCACTAACAGATTTGATTAGAAATCTGTTGGTTTTCATAAGAACACGAGCGACGAGAATTTCGTTCAGCTCGTGTTCGGCGGATCGTCGCGCGACGGATCGTTGCTCACACGGCCGGCGTTATTTGTTGTTCACAGTCGAAGGAATCGTCGTCGGTGCTCAGCTGCGACATATCCGCAGACGACAGGTACATCGTGACAGGTTCCGGTGATAAGAAGGCGACCGTCTACGAGGTGATGTACTGAACGGGGCCGTGACCGCAACCGGAAGACGGACTGACTCGCTCGAGAAGGCTCTCGACGGCGTGGGTGTATATAGTTCTTATACAACATTATGAGAGACGTTTGTTGCCGTTGTTCTTGTTATTGTTGTTGTTGTTACTCTTGGCGAGGCAATGATCGACGCGAGAACGAGCCGAACGAACCCGGGAACGTCGTTTCTGTTCACCGGCGAGAACGTCGGGTGCGCGCGCCGTCCGCGACGCTGCCGAAAAAAAAGAAGAAACGGAATCGGAATCGTTTAGTTAATAATCGACGAAGAAACGTTAAGCAATCGCTGAATCGACTGCGTGGGAATCGTTTTATTTCCTGACCGAATTGATCTCTTAATATGCCGGGACCGATCGAGTTTCCCCAAGATAAATATTTTTCGCCGGCAGTCTGGGAAATCAGTTTCGTTCCGCTCGTTGCGCGCATAAATTTCCTCCGGCGGCGAGACCGCGTGTTAATTAGAATAAACGCTGGCATTCGTAATCGCGTTTCTCCCCCCGCCCACTCCCCCCCGGGTCTCTAAGGCCGCACCACCCCCCTTGTACATTTTGTATATACGTATACATATTATATGTATATATAAATATTATATTTCAGTCTTTAAGCATACCGTCATATTTTTCTACGTCCCCTAAAAGTGAGACGAAAGGCGAGCTAATGAAATGAATTGTGTAAATATTGTCAGGCTTAGAAGATATAAGAGAATCGAGACGGGAGAAGATTAAATAAAAAGTGATACTCGAGATTAAGCACGCTGTTGATTCGTCCTAGTGTCCTAGAAATAACCTTGACATAACCTGCGACAATTTCTTCTGCGAGTCTCCTTTTCTGTTCACTGAAAGAGGACCGGCCCCGACAAAGGTAAGAACTTTTATTTATCGTAATATATCGTATACGTAAAAATGACGGAATCTGGTGGTTAACGCAGTTGATAAAACTATGCTTAAAATTGGAGTTTGTGGTTTTAAATCTACAAAATTGGGAAACTAATTTTTCAAATTAGAAGAATCGCGAAGGGAATACTGAACGAAATGAAAATGCTTCATTCGTATATCGTACGGAATTTTGCGTTTTCATCTTTTCTTATTTCGCTTCGTCTAAGATAGTATATTTTATTTAATTTTTATAGTTTCATAAATATTTATTGAAATGAGAAAGCGAACATATCGATTCGCGCGGACTTTTATTAGTTTAGTTAAATATAATGAACTGTACAATTTTACAAAGAAACGTCAACGACGTGCAAACACATGCTGTAATAATACGTAAAATGCTCGGTTGCGTTTATGCGAAATAAAATGTTTCTACGTCAACCGTAAAAAACGCAGAAGTTAGATAAAAATGTATTTCTTCATTTAATAGCGGCAACATATCAAAAATGGTATAACTGTACTCTGAAATATTTTTAAAGTCTTCGCAGATTATAAAATCCCGTACTCCAAATTCGAAATTTTTGTTCTATAAAATCTCTGTCCGTACGACCGCGTACCAAATTTCACACGTAGAACTTCCACCGCCGATTCAGCAACCCCGGAGGATTTCATGAAAACGCAGAAACATATTTAACGAAATAAAAATTGAAAAATTAAAGTCTTTGGTCAAAATCTTTCTCGCTTCAATTGTCTCGTATTTTGCAGATCCTAACCAAATATCAATCGAAAACAAACAAGATCTTTACAAATAATTCCGTCGTTCACGCAATGGGGTGGCACGACAGTCAACGCGTTAAATGGAATACGTGATTATTTTATATTATATAAAGCGTCGCTTACCGACGCTGAAAAAATTCTGCGACCGCAAAGGGGTTGAACGCGCGCGCGCGTTGCAGCGTATTGTACTTTGCCGGTCGAAAAGACGGAGGCGACGGCCGGCAGTTCGGTGGCGGTGGACGTTCGTCGACGGAAAAAGAAGACCACGGGCAAATATTATCCCGCCGCTGTTGTAACATAAAAACCGATGAACAGCGGTGAGCATTTCGCGCCGCAGAAATTCGAACGCGCGACCGCCGCGGCCGTCACCAAAACTATAAAACAAGGGCGTCACCCCATCCGCGTTAGCTGCCGGCGTCCCATAAACGTGTCAGCGTTCCGAGCGACGGAGCGACGCGGCGGCCGTCGGAGGGAGAAAGATACACGGGGTCGACAATATTTAGTCCCGGCGCTAGGGTGATCGTGTCACGAAAATCACGACACCGTTCCGACAATAAAAAAAAAAAAAACCGCGGACTACGTGTCGGACGCCGCGACGCATGCGATTCCCACCGGAAACAAATTGCGGCGAACGCGATGACGGTGTCGGGCAAACGCCACTGCACCGATACAGCTTACCGGAGGGAACAGGTAAAAAAGAGGCGAGACCAGTTGCGCGAAACCGAGCGTCCCGACGCCTTAAACTTTCAGGACCAATATTTAACCTGCGACACGCTCGCCCGGCGAACCGACGACCAGAAAAATCCCACCGAATCGAATTCGTTTATTTAATACCGGTGCACCATCGGGGTTAATTTCAGTCGAAAGTTTGCGTTCGTACGCTTTAAATGTTCTATTTCGTTTTGGGAACGCTCGCTTCTGCGCTCAATCATTCAATTGCAACGCCGAAGTCGCATACTGATTTATCAATGTTTTTTTTTCGTTTCATTTCATTCTTAGTCATCAATGTTTCATCTTGTTCCGTTGTTTCTACCGTGTAATCGAGGAGATTGTGCATCGAAATTTGTTCATCTTATGGCTACGGATTTGATGCATTTATAGCGAAAATGGTTAAACGAAGGACTGCGCAGAGAAAGTTGAAGAGGATTTTAAGAATTACTGCCACATTACTTGTACTTTATCAGGCGTTATCGAAGAAGGATCATAATTTGTATCTAACTTTTATTTTATACGATCGACGAGAAACATTCCTATTTTGTATAAAAAATCGTCGTCTACTTATTGCACATATCAGATTAAATTGATCTTTTTAAATTTGTAAATTCGTTGTTAATTTGTATCCAAAGACCGCGCTTCCTGCATTCATCGGTTACAGCAATTATTTTTAACCCACGTAAGAGTGTCTGATTATACAGGGTTAATTATTGTTATATACTTGATACCGTATACAATGATATTTTTAAGTACTTGATATAACGTATATACTCGACGAAAGCGTCGTAAGCGTGCGTTGCGTACATATGCTTTGTAGTGATCACCTTTTCTTTCAAATTAAACAAATTAAATTCTCCCTAATCGACGCTCAGATTGTGCACAAAAGTGGACAACTTCTGTCGACGATCGGTGACTATAAAAACGCGCCGCAAAATTCGAATAATCGTCTCTCCTCTTCCCAAATTGCACGCTTTCGTTTCCAAGCCACGGGACAATCGCGGAGAATTTGCCGTATCGATGCGCGAAAGATCCCCTTCCGACACCCGCGACAACGTCCATATTTTCAGAGAACGCCGTTCCGACCCGAAGAAAGATACACCGAACTCGGATCGATTTGAAAAAGGAGAAAAAAAACGCCGGACCGTTCCGAGAATCAAAAGCGGCTCCGACAACGCGGCCCGAACGTTCTCGCGCGGCATTCGGCGTGAAAGCGTTTTTGCCGCGGGTGGCAATTAAAATTTACAGGTATTCGTCGAAACATAAATTCGAAGCGGGACATAAAACTCTAGAGACGTTAATGTCGAGCACGGCGCCGGGAGTGACCGGCAAAAAGCCGGCCGCGAATTAGCAAAATGCTAAATATCAGTTCTTCGGGCGGGGGCAATTACGCTCGGAACGGAAGCATAACTCGTGCTCCGTCGTCTTTTTACACCTGTTCCGGTACCGAGAGCGCGCCGCGTATCCGAGCCCGATGAAATCCGTGCGGACTAGGCCCCGTGCGAATCGCACCACCCGGTACGTAATTAGCGATGCAATCCACGCTTGCGGAGCGCATATTCAATGGAAGGTTCATCGGCGTAATGTTATTATAATAGTGGCGCGTTTTGCATATGTGACTGGGTAGCGCGGGTGCAAAGTGGTGGCCGGGTGGGTGGACGAGGGGGGAGTTTGCCGAGGAGGGGGAGGCCGCGCGGGCGGGTGGACGAGTGGACGAGTCGGCGTGGCAGGAGGCGGACAGAGAACCCGGGGCTCGTGCTGGGAGAAGACGAACGCTGCGGTAGAGGAAGCGGGCCGCGGAAGCGCGCAGGGGGTGTGCCGGACGATTTTACACGGGCTTCGCCGCACGCCGCGCGTATTTGCATGGTAATGATATGCGACGCGGCAGGCCCGATGGAACGGGGCGCTGGTAAAACGAACGGGCCGGGGGAATTGGCCGGGGGCGGCGGAACGCCGACGGTATTTCACGCGCAAGTTTTGAATGTCGCGGCTAAATGCATCGGTTATTACTGGTTAATTCAGTCGACGGAAAAGCGAACAGCCGGTCGCGGCTTTATTTATCTTAGCGCACCTGTTCGGTCCGCGGCGAGCTTTTATTCGGACTCGCGCGAGCCTTCCGGCCGAACGCGAAATAGAATTCCGACGAACCCTTTCGACGCGGATGCGCGCGCCCGATCAACCGTATCGAAGAACGTTCGACGCTCGAAGATATCGATGGTCACGCGGGATTTAGGTTCGCGGGTCGTCGCGAACAGGGTCGGTCCTCTCAGAGTCTAACACGTGTATGTACAGTTGTTCCCAAAAGTGTTCGAACGTCGCGCCGTTTAACCCTCGGACAGAGGACGCGTCGAGATACTCGATCGCGCGGCGGATACGGAGTCGAATGTGACTCGAGGGTGATATTGCTTTGAAACATTTGGAAAGTACGTTGTTTATTATAATATGCGATAAATTAGTTTTTAACGCGTATAGAAGGTGAGAAGGAACGCATGTTTATCGTAGAAGAAACGGCCATTTATCGATTTACCGGGAAACTAAATTTTAAAACTGAACGTTAGCCATAATATATCATAACGTAAATTGTAATAAAGTTAATATACGTGCAAAGAAAATTATTGTTAGAATTTTCATAATTCTATATTTTTTTATTTGAATTATTAGTAGAAAATTATTTTCTGTAGAACTCGTTTCTCGTAATAACAATTTCACGCCGAACTGTCCCGAGCTTTCGATAGTCAATCGTGACCGCGATAAGGCGATAATTAACACCATGGAACGATCGAACAACCGAAACGCGAAGATTTAACCGTGGGAAAAATGAGGAAAAATTAGCAGAACGCCTCCGCGTTGTTATACCATTCCGAAACCGTTGTACCACAAATTCTATTTAATCTGGCCAAATAAGTACCATTTACAACGAAAGTTACGAGTCGTAAAAGATGAAAAATGAGCCACGGAACCCATTCGGAATTGAGTCATTAAATCGGACGTATCCGTCGAAGGAATCGCGCCAGCGACGCTCCCACGAGCTACCGACAAAGATCGAATAATTTCGGGTAATTAGTCGAGATCGTTCCCAAAAAGAGAACGAATCTGCATAGTCGATTGTTTACGACGTTTCGCCGTTTCGTCGGTCCGACGCCAACGAATCGGACGAACCGAGTCTGAAAAATGGAAGAGAACCGGCCGGACCATGGAGCTACTTAAAACCGCAAAAAGTAATCGATTTGTTTTTTAACCGGTCACACCGGGGAGTCTCCATAACACCGTGCAGACTCGTCCTTGCCCGGAGATCAGCGTCGCCGGGTCAGCTGGTTCTTTGCGTCATCGCTTTAATCGTTTACACCGGCGTAGTTTGTTCTGCGGTAAGAGGATTAACGAGCGGAGTC